TCATTGCATGTGCAGCTTCCAAACCTAGTAGACCACCACCTACGACCGCGCCTGTAGTACCTTTCCTTGTTGAGGAGAATTCAATCAGTCTTTGAAGGTCCTCTATTGTGCGGTATACGAAAACACCGTTTGCGTCGTGGCCGGGTGTATGTCGAGGAAGAAGGGCGTCGGATCCCGTTGCTAGTACCAAGATATCGTAGGGTACTGTTTCGCCGGATGAAGTCTTGACGTTCTTTTCGGTGGAGTCGATCTCGGTAACGAGGGTGTTCAGGTGATAGTTCAATGAACCTTCTGGCATCGACGCATACTACACCGGGGTTAGCTATAAACGCCTTCTCTTGAATGTGCTAGAGCATACCCATTCCTTGGGGTTAAGATATAAGTTCTCAACTTGCCGATGTTGGAAAAAGCTTGTCAAACCGACCCGGTTGTACGCAAGATGTGGTTCCTCGCCAATAACTACAACATCATACTCTCTCCGCTTAACGTCATACTTCATGAGTTTCTCGCTTGGACAAAGTCAGTGTCTTCTTCTTGTTCAGCTCAAAAGACGATTGACTCACATGAACGCTATGCCCACCATACCCAATCCAACAACCACGATCTTCTTCCGTGGATGTTGATCGTTGATCTCGCCCTTCTTCTCTAAATCAGCTACCTTCTCAGGCAGCTTGTTGGCTTCCGCATCGTTCCATTCTGCATTGGAGATGTTTCCGTCCTTCGATCCCCATGTTGCTGTGATATGGCGGTCGCCGGGTGGTGAGTGTGATTCGCCGGATGAGGGCTCGATGCCTTGTGTGACGATTGGCTCCGTCTCGGCCATGGTGTGGTTTGAGGCCGCCGAAGCCTTGGGTATCTAAATGCTACAATGAAAAAGGTTATGTGTGAAGCAATTCGTCGTACTAGTACACTCAATCAAGAGGGCACAAGATGATACCGCAGTCAGTAAGCATAGACTGTTTACTCCAAGAGGTGTAGGAGACAAGACTTGAGAGGAAAGGAATATGCAGAAGACAAGACACAGCTCTAACGAGTAAGATCGATACCTAGTTGATAGACCTCAATACCTGCAAGCTACAACTCCGTGGCACGACATCTCCCGCAAGCTCACCCAACACGCTTCATCTCTCCCGCGCCAACCCTCGCGCCACAATGAGCATAGATAGCCCAACTACCGATCGAACCACTCATCTCCAATCACGCGTGCCCCGCGGTGTTTACGGAAATGCATCGTGACGCAGCGGGGTTCTATGGTCCCCCCATGCCCATGCACTGGGCCTGCAGAGCGCATCCTAGCTCCCGTTCCGCGGCATGCTGTCAGAAGGCGTGTGAAAGCGACAAGGGTACAAGAGCGCGTCCAGTCAAACAATTGACATTTCTCATTATTGTACAGAAATGCTGCAGGCACGAAGTTCTCCGTGGAGATTAGAAGAGTTCGCGTGATGTGGGCTCTCTGTGGAGACGCGTCGAGTGGCTGGACGTTCCTTATCGCAAGCTAGGCGGCTTGGCGACAAGGGTCCCGGCTCGGTTCGTTATCAGGATTATCTTTCACGGAGATGCGTTTTGGTGTTGCTAGGTTTCCGGCAGATGTCATTATACAGGTGATGTTTCGCTTGACGGTGATATGGAGGGCAGGATCGAGATGGAGGAATGGAGTGCCATGTCATCGTTAACTAGTGCTCGTTTCTCGCAACGAGCTAGGACCTAGGATGCAATGTCGCTAGGTGCCATACTTGTGCCGCTCTACCATTGGGAATCTAGGAAGCTGATCACCTAGATATGCTGTATGGCTCGAGTTGAAGTCGTTGCGCGTTGTTCTATGAGCCATGGCCCTATATACAATAAGGAAGTCGAAATATGTGTATCCAGATGCTGTCCCCCAACTCCAGACGTTATGAACGAAGATGCCGAAATCCTGAGTTGCCTTTAGAAATGAGCATATTAGAAGAACATCAACTCCTCGTCGCTCCAGCCCTGCTCATTTAACGCCTTGTGTGCAGCCTTCTCCAAAGCCTCCGGTCCGCAAATAAGCACCAAGCTCTCACCCTCATCTTTCACGCAATGTTCTTGCAGCAACGGCGCACCAATGCGCCCCCTCAAGCCTTGCCAGTCCTCTGGCCCTTGTGTCAACGTATACAGCAACTTGCACCTCTCTGCATTATCCTTCGCAAAGTTATCCAGGTCCTCTCTGCACAAAATGTCCTCGACCAAGCGGTTGCCATTGAGAACAGTGCAATGTGTGGTATCCTCTTTATCCTGCATGACAGCGCGCAAGACTTGGAAGATAGGCGTGATACCACTGCCACCACAAACCATGAAAAAGCGCTTCACTCTCCTCTCTTTGCCATTGACAGCGCAGAGGCCACGACCAAGGTATTCAAACTTGCCGATCGGGCCTTTAAAATCGACCCAATGGCCCGTAGGAATAGAATCGAGTGCTTTCGTCATCTTGCCACCAGCACGGCCGGGAGCATCGGCGTAGACTTTGATCAAAACGTCGCAGAATCCCTTCTGTGTCGTTTGGCTGATGGGTGTGTAAGAGCGGATTATGGCCTCGCGGGTCACGGGGTCGCGGAGACGGATCATGAGATGTTGGCCGGTGGGAAGACCAAGGGCTTGGTCTTCGTGGTCGAGTTTGAAGCGGAAGATGCGTGTGTCCCAAGAGACCTTCTTCTTAGAGTACAGGAGTGTTTTGCGCCATGTGCGGGAGTCAAGGAAGCTAGGCCGCGGCTCGTTGGATTCTTGGACGTGTTCGCCTTCTGCTAGGACTTTACGAGATGCTTCGTCGAGAGTGCCGATGTGGTAGTCTGGCATCATGGCTTTGGCTGTCTCGCTATCTGCTTATTGTTAGCCGTCATCGTCGGACTCCATGTTGCTGCGAAACTCACGGATTGCCATAAACTCGTCAGTGGCATCTAGGCCTGCAGCGCTGATAATGCTCTGCGCACCACCTGGATGACCTTCCAAGAAAGCAGTACCGTCGTAGACTTCGCCGTTGACCACGAACCATGGGTTCTCGGCCTTGTCATGTTTCCGCAACTCATCGATCTCAATGATCTTGTCGACACCATCCTTTGTCATCTTGATCTCCTTTGCCTCCTCGATAGCAGCATGCTCCGGCTCTTCGCCGCCAATCTTCTCACCCCAGTATCCGTTTGTGAGATTTCCGCCAACCTTTTTGACGCGCTCCATCCAGCCACCAGGCATTAGTGCGGGTTGTGTGGGATGCTCGAAGCGGAGAGTATTGTCTTCTTTATGTATGACAATCCGAAACCAAGGGTTGTTCATCATGCCCAGTACACTCCAGTACATATCCCTTGGCTGAACACACATCGCTTCGTCCATCACCCGCACCACAATGTCATCAGCCTCTTTTAGCTCGGCGGTGGCGATCTCTAGGTTCCAGAAACACCAGCAGAAGCTCGTCTCACGCCAATCCATGTCCAGTCTTCCACCGTAGAGTTGTCGGTCTTCAAATGCCCTGTACTTGTCTTCTGCGTAGTCGATCTTTGCGAGTCGCCATGTCTTTCCCTTATCCAGAGAAAGTTCGCAGCGTGTTACACGTCGTCCACCCCCACTATAGGCATAGCCGCGGACGTTGTACGATTCAGGACTCGAAGAGAGGGTTAGCTTCTCTTCATGTGCAGGGCATGCAATGGCTGAATTGGGCGACAGGTCATAGATGGCGTAGCGATCGTCCATCCACCATTTCGCATTCTTGGCTGCCTCGTCTGGGTCGACTGTCGTAGGGAGTACGCGGTTATCGTAGATGTGATACCAGTTATCGCTAGGCTCAGCCGTGATGATCAGCTTCTTCAGCCACTTCACACTTCGACCACCAATCTGACCCGGTATCACAGCTCTTAACGGCTTGCCATGATCAGGTTTCAGCATCTCGCCATTCATTTTATGCGCCAACATGATACCCCGATTTGGGTCCATGACCCAGTTGAGCTTGACGGAAGTGCCATAGTATCCGTTAGGCTGTGCATAGTGTTAGACCTCGTATGTTGACCATCGACATGTGACTTACAAGTTTGTCAGCACCTTCCATGCACACGTATTTCGCTTTTCGCAATGGTTTCGCTCGCTCGATAATGTCTTTCATGACCACACCAGTAAATAGTGCTGTTGAAACACCTGCTGGGCCCCATGAGAAGCCCTTGCTCTTCCTCACTACATTCTGCTCTTTCCGCCTGTTACCAGCACAGACCAAAGTGACAGGATATGTGACGTTTTCGTATTCTTCCAGCAACTGTCGTAGAGTAATTTTGAGGGGATTTGCTACTAGACTATACAAGATTTAGATTCATGATGTCATTCTACACTTGGACGATAACATACCCTTCGACCGAGAACTCCCAATCCAGACACTCGGCGTCATGTACCTCCGGGACTGCACCATGGTTTCGCACATAGAACAGTTCTGGGCTGGTCAGGAAACCCTCATTGAATAGGTCCGTCAATGGTGCTTCGGTGTTGAAAGGGTGAACGCCCGTTAGCCGGATTAGTCTCGGATCTCGTGGCACATGCGCATCTGGTGTAGGCTTGTCGACATCCAGAACTTGCGGTGGGGTATTCGCTGGTGGTGGAAGCGGAAAATCTGGTTCTGACGTCGAAGTGGTGGACTTGCTGTCATCTCCGTCTACCGTCTCTGGCGGCGATGGCGGTAATTGTATCGACTTTGAAGCAGCATGTGGCTGTGGTTGGTGTTGATTTGCAGGAGGTATGGGTACTCCCGCCTTGTTCTGAGTCGCTACGCTCATGATGCGTGACTAAGAGATGCGGTACTGGAACTTGGGATGGATTCAGTGGATGGGTATGGTGCTTGCACTAAACGGGACGACTCTTCCAACCGAAAAGTTACGACAAGTTCATCAAATTCTGCTGGTGCTGCGAAAAGGGTATTGGTAAAGAAAGCAATAGACGACACGATGCTGAGACTCCAAATAGGATCGAACCGGACAAAAGGCAGGAGTTGCAATCGGGGGTATCTGGAATCGCAGATACTGAGTCAAACCCAACGTGTTCTAAGAATGTAGTGGCACCCTTCAATCAGCTAGTGGGACCAGTCAACGTTGTAGTCAACGTCAGTCGCTAAATGGTAATACCGCGGAAACTCTACCTCGATCTGTGGGGAAATCCTCGAATCATGCATTCCGTCATCATCCTAGCTCTCATCGAACGCCAGGCTCTGATCATCTCGAATTACTTTACACACTCGCATGCGACCTTATCTTTGACGTTCGTATTGGGGATAGCGCACGATATGTGTGGCAAGGGAGTAAGCGGGCCTTGATGCCACTAAGAAATGTTCCTGGCCGGACCGGGTAGGCTGGATTTGGTGTGGGGGCTCGGCTTTCCCATGTGGATCCGGCATCTTTCCAGCGGAGATGTCAACACATGAACAAATTATCTCTCTGTGGAGATGCTTGACCTGCACAATCTTTGACACATCTTGAAATGCTGTAGTCGCCAACATCGTGCAAATTATTGGAACTTTGTAGTGCTTACGGGGCGAAGTTCTGTGAGACCAATCTCTCGTGTAGACTGTGCATGCGACCATTGCGAACAGCCAGCCGAGGACAAAGTTGTGATCATCGTCCTTTCGGGCAACGCCAAAGGCCTCGGAGAAGCCTCGGTTGACCTTTTGTCGCATGCGAAACAGACGGGTCGAAAATAAGCATTTCCGGAGAGACTGGGTGGTGTACTAGATTTCGGTGCTTGAGGCTGAATATCTCCGCGGTCCCAAGGAAGCTGCGCGCGCTTGCCGAGACTAGCCACCTGGCGCAGTCTGAGCCTCTAAATTATTCCCGCAACACCTCAGTCGTGTTTAGAGAAACATACTTTTGCCGGACATGTGCAAAGACCTAGCTGTTCACCCAACAAGCTTTTCCTTGAGCGTTTGACCTTGCTCCAAAGGCCCAACTTTTACTTGTCCCTGGAGTCGTTGCTGTATCGTCTCTGCGCGAGCTTTCATGCGCTGTTCGGTCCTTTCCTTTACACTGGCTTTGGCATATCGACCCTTGACTCCATGTTTAAGACGCGTGATCATATCACCCGCTTTGCCCTTGCTGAGATCCTCTGGTTTCAATTGGTCTTCCCGCGGGCGGAATTTGTTGAGGAAGTCAACTTGAGCTTGTGATGCACGACCCCGACGCCATGGCTGATGCTTTGAGATGTAGAAGTGTTTAAAAGCTTCACTCGCGTACGTATCAGCTGCGTGGACAACGTGATCAAAAGAGTCTCCTTCTGCGATGACACGCGGTGTGCCATAGGGACTTTTGACGATCTTATTCATCGGGAGCTTCCAGTAATACCTCGCTCTAAAGTGACCTTCAATGTCGTCGGATGGCTCAATGACTAAGTAGTTGCCAGTATTGCCAGTGAGGACGTACTTTCCATCGCCAACACCGACCCAAGCATTCTGGCTAATGTTACGTATGTATTGATCGGCGGAAGTGTCTGCTATTAGATCGTGTACAGAGTCATACTCGGTGAAGGAGATAGTGCCAGGTAACTTCTTCGCAACCGTTCTCTTCTTGAGGTCAGAAGCCTCCTGTTCACGTTGCTTTTCAGATTGCTTCATCTCTTTGAGCTTCGTCATGGCTCTGGTGTCTGCCTCGTCAATGATTTCACTTGGATCAAGGCCGAACAATGTAGGTGTTGACACTACTCCAGTGCTCAGTGCGGCGACCATGTCAATGATGTGGCAATTCTGCTTTCCCTTATGTAAACGCATACCACGTCCGATCATCTGGACAAGAAGATTTCGAGACTTTGTGGGGCGAGCTAGCAGCACGCAATCAATATTAGGAATATCCGTTCCTTCTGTAAAGACACCACAGTTTAGCAGCACCGGAAACTCGCCGTTCCTGAAAGCGTCGATGCGCGCGCTGCGGATCTTTGCTGGTGTGTCACCAGTGACAAATTGAGCATTAATCCCGGATGCCCGGAATCTAGCGGTAAGGTCGGTGACATGGCTAAGGTCAACACAGAAGATGAGAGTCGAGTGCCGGTCCCTTGCCTTGGCTAGCCATGTCTTTACAACGAGCTCGTTGGTTTCCTCGGTGTTGATTACCGTAGAGAGGGCGCCGGTCTGAAAGTCGCCACCGACGCCAGAGCCCACTTTGGTCAAGTCGGCCTTGATCTCGACAGTGGTAAAGACAACATCAGAAAGCCAATTTTCGTCAATCATGTCTACGTAGTCGCGGTGGTAGACGATGTGGTCGATGGCAGACCCAAGCTTCCTGCCGTCGAAGCGTGAGAAGGTAGCCGAGACGCCGACTAGGGCAGGAGCCTTTGTTTGAGTCCAGTCAGCTTGATGTCTCAATCCAAAGTGCTCCAAGACGTCGAGATATGTCTGGCTGACGATGTGGTGTGCCTCGTCTACCAGTACAAGCTTGTACCGTGAGGGGTCAAACTTATTCAACCGTTCCCCCGATGTGATGCTCTGTATGGAGGCGACGGTGATGTCGGCGGCCCCCGAGGCCTGATTGTTGCCCATTTCGATGTCTACATGCTTATCGGGGTATGCGAGACTGCAATGACTGGCGGCTTGCTCGACGAGTTCGCGGCGATGGGCGAGAATGAGCGTCTGAGAAGCGTCGCCATTGGCGGGTATGCGATCGATGAGATGGGTGAATATGACGGTTTTGCCCGAGCCGGTTGCCAGAGAGACACCGAGACGTTTGTGTCCGGCATTGAGGTAGGAAAGGACAGCTTGTATGCAGTCTTCCTGATACTCGCGTAGTTGGATCTTGGGCGGCGGGGGAGGCGGCGGCGGCGGCGGTGGTGCTGGCGAGCTGGCAACCACGTTCCGGGGTCTCTTTGATCTTGTTGAAGCATGTCGGCTTGTTGCATGAACAGGCGTGTAGCCTACTCGCCTGCAGTGTCTCAACGCATGTTGGGCGAGAGGGAACATCAAGACGCGCTCCAGGGTTGCGTGGAAGCGAAGATGTCGCGAAGTCACGATGCATGACGCAGGTCCAAGGCGGGCTGCTTCGTGTGGTAGGCCGAGGCCGAGCCCCACCCAAAATGTTTCCAGCCGTCTTCATCCAGTCTTCACCTCTTCACCCTTCACCATGGCCGCTATATGCGCGCGCATGCATGACTCGAATCAGCACATATGCCACAGAGGTACAGAATACGCGTCTAACCCACCGCATCCGCCATGAGTTCCGCGTCCGACTACAAGCATTCCGAACCGTCAGAAGATTCTAGCCATGAAAGCTCGCAACCGCCTACAGTGTCTCACACACCGCAGAAGCGACGCCGCCTAGAGTCGATCGATCCTGCCCGTGTACGCAAATACTATCTCGAGGGAAAGTACAACGACGCCTACCGCGTGCTGTTCAACGAGGACGTGAACCGAGCGGCGGCGCGCTTCGAGACGCACTCCGAGAACTTCCAATACTACAACAGGCAGATTGGTGCATCAAACTGGTCGCCAAGGGAACAGGCCGTCTTCTTTGGGGCTCTTGAGCGACTAGGAAAGGACGACATTGCCGGTATAGCAGGTGCTATCGGCACCAAGAGCATACCAGAGACGCAGGAGCTACTTTTACTGCTCCACGATGCTGCCACAAAGCAGGGCGATACCAAGTTGACGCTTCGCCATGTCCCCGCGGCCATCGAAGTGAGCGACGAGTGCAACGAGCAGCTGCACGTTGCGGCCGAGGCTTTGGCCTGGTTCCAGGAGGTCTTCGAGGCAAACCAGGAGCGAGACAAGTTCGGTGACCACTGGCTAATCACGCCTGCGGTAGCCGACAAGATCGAGAGCGCACTCGACGTCCGCAATCTGCGAGCCACAACATCACCGCTTGCGAGCGAGTCAGAGCCAGAACCTTCACGAAGGGGTGGCAGAGTAATCATAGGGTACTTACAACCTACTGACGATAAAGATGAGTGTGCTGACATGTTCCAGAGCATGTACTTCATGCAAAAAGTTCAAGCAAAAGTGCGATCGAGCAACACCATGCGCCAACTGCGTGCGACGAAATACGGGCGAATGTATCTACCCAGAGCAATCTATCAAACCCGATACGGGCGATCAGTTTGACAAGAGATCGAAAAAGCCCAATCCCAAGGCTGGTATCCTCCAAGACATTCCCGAAGCCGGTCTACTACAGCCACAGGTTATGCTCACCCTCTCCAAGACACTGTTCATGAACCGCTCGCCTACAATACCCTCGCCCTGGCCACACTGGTCTGAATACACCTCTGAGTTTGCTCAAGAACCAAGCATCTATCGTAGCGCCTTCAACGATCTCCACACCCTGGTGGTCTCCGTTACCAAGCGGCTCGTACAGACGGCTATTATACAAGCAACTTCACGTCTTCGAGCACAAAGACGGCGAGTAAAAGGCGGTGTCCCCCTAATAAAGCGAAGAGACGCCTTGACTGCTATCGATGTTGTAGGCATGCCACGGAACAGTCAGGAGAGATGGCGAGGAGTAGCCAGACGATGTGCGTTGAGAGTGTACGAAGGCAAATGGTCACGTTACCGACGTAATAAAACCAGACGAGAGGTGCCGTGGGACGAATTCGAGCGAATTATGGCCCCAGTTGAGCCGTCAGCAGAGCTCTCGACCACAGACGCAGAGATGTCCGGTAATGACAACGCCGGTTTCAGTGCAAGAGCAAAGCGGAGCGGAACACCACTTCCTATGGATCAGCTTGGGCTATCGGATTCCGACGATGAATCACTCCTCGAAGATAGCGCACCTCCTTCCCGAAGCACATCCCAGCCCAGAAATACTGTAGACCAGCTTGCAAATTCACCACCGGCCACGGATTCTGAGAAGCATGGACCCCAAAAGTTGACATTGGCCGACTTTGATCGAGAGACAAGTCGAAAAGAGGAACAAAATCTCTGGAAAATGCTTGGTCTTGAGCCAGTCATCAAAGCTGAAGAAACGAACATCGATCGAGATAGCGACGAGGAAGATCTAGATGAAGATGAAAAGATTAGAACAGTGCCCGATAGTTGGCGCTCTTGGACAAGTTGTCGTGCCGAATGGGAGGAACTCGGCACACCTCCACCTGAATTTGCCTTTCTGGCAAACCAGAAACCTCTTGACGTCCCGCCTATTCTTCAAGGAGACACTTCAGACACCACCGAGTCTACCTCCGACAGTGACACTAATGCGCCGACGCGAAGGCCCAAGCCTCAGAGTAAGCCGTCAATCCAACGAACGATCGAATTGCATACCCGTGGCACTCACGCTTATGCTGCTCTGCAAGGACGAAGCTCAGAGCCTGTCAGATCTACAAGCCGAACCAGCTCTCAGGACAATGACATCAGCGACGAAAATGCAGACGTCCGTAGACTACCTCGACCGCCCATCGAACTTATTAGGAAGGAATCACCAATTTCGGAACTAAACGATGATCCGAGCGACAGCAGCGAACAGCTGACGCAGTCGATTGGAATCAAGAGTACGCCAGTTCCTATCGCATCATCAAGCGATGAAGGAAGTGATATCGAGATGGAGCAGCCCATACAGTCGATTGAACCCCGCAATGATCCGTTGCATGCAGTGTTGTCTTACGACGAGCCGAAAGAAATGGATTGGGGGTCGTTCATCGACTAGTTCTTACCGTATCTAATCACATCCTAAATTCAAGTCCATCTTGTTTAAACGAGCGACATGCCTTGTGTAAGCTGGAGTTATTGAGATGTAGTATGCAATGTCGAGTTACATGACTTGACACCACGTACTGGAGAGCAAACGTCCACTTCAGCCGTTTGTTGAGTCACTCACCCATATTCCTATTTTATCGTATGTTCCCGTCCACTCGAATGCTCGCACGTCATACTCTTTAGTAAGTCCTCTTGTATGGTCAGTGACTGCCAATGCGCTAATGGAGCCAGCATGCACATTGGTGACACACCCAGTGAGCAGGCGGGTGAATTGTACATTACACCTAAGAACGGGTCAAGCTCGATGTCAAATCAGTACTAGGCGCCACCACTGTCACCGAAAGACCACGACCAGTCCCTTCACTACAGCTATGATGCCGGACGCACCAATGCTAGACAGAACAACACATTTCACTGCTCAAACATTGATGCATTTGGTCCACTTCTCCACAGCCCCAGACTTGCATAAGATTCCTCCTCTGACCTTTCTATTCTCTAACCATACCACAACTTGAATAGAGTCTCATCACCTTGACTTTACTTTACCAACTTCCAACTTCCAACCCCACTAGTCCTCAGATTTCCAACATGAACTTCTTCACAACCATCCTGATGGTCCTAGCCGCCCTCGCTTCTCTCACGATGGCTAATTCTGATCACAAGGAGCCAGGAAAAGACCCAAGTAAGGAGCCGAGCTGTGGCGCTCCCTTTTGTAAGCGGGCTGAGGCTCTGGCTCGAGCCAAGGCTTCTGTCCTCGCTGAGCATGAAGCAAAGATGGCGGCTATTGCTATGCTTACTGCTACTTCCCATGTCGCGGGTTCTGAAGCAAGCAGTCTGGCTGACTAGCTGAGATGGATGACGGGTAAGTCATGGTTCTCGTGAGATGACCAAGTGTTTGGCTTACTGGCAACAGTCTGATGGTGTCCATTACGATGTCGGCTCTGAGGGCAATGCCCTGGGAATGAGGATATTTGTGGAGCATCACGATCTCTCTTGGGGTTTGATTCGTCTTGGGCGGAGCCTCACTTAAGGCGATGTACTGGAATCAGCTTTGGTCGATGGTAATTTGACTTGACTGGCGGCTATATCGGCTCTTTCGGGTGGAGCCTTCAATATGTGTATGGAGCTATAAGTAGCGATTTTACGGAACGATGAATGTCCAATAGCTCACATTTGACACCCTCGTCATAAGATGTTTCTTACCACTTGAAATCCGAATACTGATAAATCTCCGGTCGTAAAGACGATAGGCTGGCGCGGTGGTAAACAACGACTGGCTTAATCACGGCGATTCTTTGATCGATCTGCCGTCGTTCAGGCAAGGTCCCCTGCTCTGTGATGAGTCGGACTCGCGCATGTCCCATTTGAAAGACTGTCTGTTTTGATTGATGGGAAGCACAGTGAGTTTCATGTGCCGTTCCGAATATGTTCAACCTTAGTATCAATCCTATGCATACAACTCCACTCGTCCAAGTAGAGTTCCTGCACCAGATTGACACTACCAAACCACTTCTCGCCCAGTCCAGCGCCTGGCAGATCTGGATTGAGCTTGAGTTCCTTAGTATTGCCAGTCGCTGCCCCATATTGTTCAAAATGCTTCAACGAGTCGATGGCCCATATCATTTGCTCGTCGTCGCGGTAATGCTCCTTCAGCCTTGCGCGCCTGATGTCCTTCCGTATCTCAGCTTCGGCGGTCGACCAGGGCGGTGGGTAATCGGAGGGCATGAGCTTGTCACCCTTCTTGAGCCGCGCATTGTTGGCTTGCATCTTCTTCGCCGTCTTGATATGCCACTCGTCTTTCAAGACACGGAGTCGTTCTCGTTCGCGGAAGAAGAGCTGTAGCATGCTCTTCCAGTTGAATTCGATCTCGCGGGCTGCAACATCAATGCTGAGGCCTGGCAACTCGGTATCGTTCACCAAATTCCCAATGCTGATTGTGTAATTGGGCATCTCAGCCTTCCAGTTCTTCACATTCTCTTCCCATCGACGTGTGACTTTATGATAGTGCTCGCGATCTTTCTTTCCTTGCCCTTTCTCCGAGCCAATATCTGGTCGCTCATCTTTGAACCAAGCCACAGTCTTATCTTTGCCTTTGCCGCGTCGCGCGAGCCTTGTAGACACCTCCGGCCGCTTACTCTTCCCACCCAGGTTGTACTTTTCGAGTTGAAAGTCTATGTGTATTTCCTTGAGGAAGTGTTCGCCGAATGCATGCTCGACGCACGCGCGGAGTGTTGGAGAGACGCGTCGGACGACGTTCCAAAGGTGGGCAAGGTCGGTATGATAGCGGAAGACGTTGATCCACACCTCAGCCGGTAGAGATGGACAGCATGTTTCGCGTGCAGTAACACGGGGTGGAGCTTTCGAAGCCATTAGGACTTTGTCGCCAGGGGCCTTTGAGCTACATGATGCTTCAACCACTACCAGTCTTGTGCGAGCCGCGTTGAAGCCCAAGTTCGCGAGTAATGCCAATGACGTAAGCTGACCTCACATGACTCTAGCATCGCCGAAGCTCCCTCCTTCCCCCAATGCTTCATGTATAGGCTTCGCTGACAGGATATCAGGCTAATAATGCTGACGTCTGCAAAAGACAAGCTACATACGCCAAACATGCGATTAACTCAGCCTTGCACTCTAGACTTTGCATGCTAGTAAAGAAAGAAGCCTACTGCCCGTTGCTTGAAGTTTCCGTACTTACCACTTGACCAAACACCTTCCTACTCGACTACGGCCTGTACCAGCTACTTGTCACCGTCTTGTCTCCGAAACTGATCTTGCCTTGACACACGTCCGCATGTCTTTCGTACGGTTGTCCGGCCTGTATGTTATGTGCATTCTTTTCTTTCGTATTCCCACTCAAGCTTCGAACGACACAGCCACATATACAACCAAACACACAGGATGGCATAATGGCCCAGCGGAGCGCACCACAATGATGATACTTTGGAGCTGCTTGACAACCATCTCCGCCTGTACTTGGACCTTCCTTAGCCTTCCGGGAGCAAGACGAAAGGCTATGCGAACACACATGGGCGTGCTTCTTGCCCAACCCAGGATGAAGAGGCAATATGCGCAATTTTCACTACGGTGACCAAACGTATCTAGCAAATAGGTATTATACCATCAGCTTAGTTGACTGTAAGGCTATACTCACAGGCACCTAACGCATCCGTCCATCCATCAACACACTCAACGAACGTTTTGGATGTCACTGACTTGGAGGCATTTCAACGTAAGAATATCGCATGTAAACGGGGAAATACTAGTATGTAGAATCTAACATTTTATCTTTGACATACTATGAATACACCGGCGCTTTTAGTTCCTTAAGCGCCGGTGAACGAACGTCCAATCTGTGTTCGTGTTGCCACATTCCCTTCTGTTTCCCATCCCAAAGTAATATAGAACAAAAGGCAGCCACTTAAGCCTGATTCATTACCACGAAAGCAAGACAACGAAAGCGACAAACGGGCTCAGCCCTTCCGAACGAACAAAAAAAATACAAGAGTAGGGTAAAGACAAAATACATGAAGCGTAGAATAGATAGAATACAACGAAGAAGAAATCGCGAAGACAACGAACATGAGAAAGGACAATCAAGAGCAACGACGATATAGCAGATTGGTATCGCGCGACAAGCAAGGAATTTTATCGGTCGGCATAACAGGGACGTAAGAAAAGGCGTGACGACGTGAACGACCATCCTGGCAGTTGTTAATCCTCCTCTTAAAAAACAATCCGAACGCCAGCGGGTATAGACAATATCGATAGTAGTAACATTTTTTAGATTGCCGAAGCACGTAACGCAGCTTCCGGTGGTGTAGGCGGCAACGGCATAGTGGGTGGAGGAGCTGGAAGACCCATGCTCGGTGGCGGTGGGGGAAGTGGCATATTAGGTGGAGGAGTGGGCGAAGTTATGTTGCGTGGTGGAGTAGGCAATGCCTTGTTTGGTGGTGGTGCGGGTGGTGGCAGTCCCATAGATGCTATACTACGTCTGGGTGTAATGGTCTTTTGTTGTGCGAACGCCTGCTGTCTCAGCGCTTCGATGCTGGGTGTTGGTCTATGCGCGGCAGCGTCTGATGAGGGAACAGGTGCATTAGACATTCTTCGGCCGGGAACGAATGATGGCGTAGATGCAATGGCACGGATTGGGCGGGATGACAGGAATGGCGCGGGGTCAGCAGAACGGATCTGGACTGAAGCAGGACGGCGCAGAGCTTGTGATGCTTGAGCAGAATGTAGACCATGAGGGTTAGTGGTGGGCTGCATGTTCGAAGCTGCCGAAGGTGGCCTTATGGGCGCAGTTACCGATCGGTTCATGTGGACACCCGGAGGCAAAGGCGAGGGTGTGGGCGATGGTGTAAGAGAAGACTGTCGCCTCGCTACGATTGTGGATGAATCGCCATGTTGTGCTTGTGGTCGTACTGGGAATGGTCGTAGAAAAGGCTTTGGTGAAGCAGAAGTTCGACGCCGAGTCTTGGAATCGCCAGCAGTAGAAGCGTACATGGGGGCTGGACCCATCATTGATTGACGTTGAGCAGGAGGCGGGGGTACTGGGGCAGGGTCCTTGGGCGGTGGAGAGATTGCGTCCCGTCGTGGTAGCGCACTGTATGCATGCGCATTGAACCGTACCGGACTATCTTCTCGAGTTGATAGAAGATCGTTGTCATCAGCCTGACCAGATACTTCGGTCTTCAATTGAGGAGGCGATGAGCGTACAGCATCAGTAACCTGCGCGGTAGCGGGCGGAGCATCGGCTTTGTTTGGTGCTGTTTCCTTCTTTAGTGGTGCCGCTGGACCTGCAACGAAAGGCTGGCCTAATTCTGGGACAGTTGGGGAGACCGGGTTGTACAGGGAGTGTCGTTTACTCGTAGGGGGTGTTGTCACAGTCTGGCTCAAGTCCTCATTTGTGATTGGCAAAGGCTGCATTGACCTGCGGCGAGACGACATGGTGTTGTTGGGATTCATGTGGAACGACCGTAGAGACATTGCGCTCCGGAGAGGCTCACTATCCCCAGTCGCAGTAAACTCCTCTTTGAGGGGCGAATGTGGTGCTGGAGATGACTCTCGCGAAGTATTGCGCGTGCCGGCACCTGATGCTGACGTAGCTGTTGACATGAACGAGTATCGTGATCGTCCGCGAAGCTGGTCCAACTGCACCTGATGTTGAGAGACAGGCGTCGAAGCGACAGATGACATCTCCACTGAAAGACGGTTGTTGGTGTTAAAGCGAGCGGACTGTCCACTAGACGAGTCGATACTGTTCTTTGTTTGATCGTTCTGGTTCGCTTCCCACTCAGAGGCTACAATCTTTGGCGATGTGGAATGCTGTGATTCAACTGGCACAACCCTGCTGACGATGTGTGGGTCCCGATTGACTCTGTACCGATGACTGGTAGTCTCTGATGAGTTCTTTCCACCAGAGTCATCAGTAGAAGAGGACGCTCGAGCGAAGTCATCCTTTGCCTTCATGCCGCCAAGGTTGTCGATCTCCTTTCGCACAATGGTCATCCACTCATCCATCTCTTCCGCGCTCTCGAGAACCAGAAGGAAGCTTGTGGCTGACTTGCGCATGGTAGCATTTTGTGTTCGTAAGCGAGCAAGAAGAGAGTTCTTTGGCCCTGACTCGAATGTTCCGTCATCGCTGGCGTGACTGGAAATCTGTAGCACCCAGTGCTTGCCAGGTATAAGATCGCACGCAAAGGCCGCTGATTCCTTTCCCAGCTTTAGCACTTTCTCAGGCAGACGATCGAAAGCCCCATCACCAGCGTACTGGAGCACGAATCCTGCAGTAACCAAGATGTATATTTTGTTGACAAGTTCTGGAGTCTGAGGGTTCAATACAGAGTTGGACATGAGACGCTTGTGTGTCTTCTCCAGCTTCTTTGTCTCTGTACCGTTCTCTGCGATTGTGGAAAGGTCGCGCTGATTGTCCATTTTCTCACGTATCGACTCAGCTTGCTGCCTTTGGCTCTGTGATCTCATCAGGATCTCTGGAGCGAATACACATGCTTGTACAGTGGCATGCTTCAAAGACTGTGGGAAAGCCTGAAACAGCGGAGGGGGGTCCCAATTTCCAAATTCGTGATGTTGTACAGCTGGTCGCATGGACATGGGTCGGAACATCTGGCTTGAGCGTGCGCGAATGGTCTGTTGAGCGGGCGGGGAAGGGTTCTGTCTCAGGGAAGACTTCGGTATGGAGATAGGTTGAGTAGGTTTAGGCGGAGTCTGTGGTCGCATCGGTACGGCAAGGCCGACTTCGGTATGTCCACGAGCCTTCTCTACTTTGGGTCGACTGAAGAGGCTGAACAGCGACATCTTAGATGTTACGCGTTCCAGCTTCTTGGGGGGTACTATTGACGGGGTCTGAGATGCTACGGACGGTGACCGTGCAACCGGTTCCTGGAGGTTCGCGGTGGATCGAGTGAAGCGCCATCGGGAGTTCATCGACGAGTTGTGAGTCTTGTTTCGCATGTTGCCGATGGGATTGGACGAGGCAGCGTAGATCTGGCCAGAAAGATCGGACATGATGGGCGACCTTGGCTTATGAAGCCGGTAGAATACGGTTGACTTCAGAGCAACGTTGGGCTAGGCGGAAGACGTGGACGGGTAATCCAGGTCGTGCAAATTGGTCGCACGCGCGGTCCAAGTTGTTCCTAAAGACCCTGACAGGGTAGGCTTGCATTCAGTGTAAGCAAGATCTCGGACCGATGTCAAAGTATGTAAATCGTAGGAAGTGGTTTATGGTTGGAGTAGAAGTTTGTCGAGTATCGTGAGATCAGTGCGTCGGTAGAGAATGTGGAGATTGCCAGGTGAGTGGTAGAAGGAGCGTGATATAGCTGGCGGGACTATAATACAAGGAGAGGGGAAGATCAAACGAGAGGACAGGACATAGGCCCCTAGAGAAGCAGAACGAGCTGCAGATATGACGGAGCAGAGGGAAGCAGACGAGACTGAAACGACTTGTCAACGTTGAGTTGAGTCGTGGAGAGGAAAAGTGGCAAGCGTTAGTTGCCGCAGATGAATGCTCCCTAATCATGGTAGCGTACAGGGGGAGCCGTTCCCAGGTTCCGTCGTGTGTGATGCGAACGCGCAGGGGCTGCATAAAGGCCCCTTTCCGGTCATTTTCAGAAGAAAGTTGGGAGGGATGCGATGGCGCCGCACACTAGCGCTCGCCTGGACGATGTTGGCGTGTTTGACCTGGCTAGCCGGTGAAGGGTCGGCACAACGTCTTTTGACAATGCTCGCGAGCTACATAATAGACTCGACGCCAGCTGCGTCGAAGAGGTCTCTGCCCGGACGCAGCGGAAGAGGGTGGCCTCCATCATCAGGCCCCGACGAAGATGTAGATTAACGAGGTACCGCCACGATGTTTCAGCAGCGGCCTCTCGCAGTCGTGCCCAACGCGGTGGCTAAATCTGCCTGGCCCAACGTGGAAATTTGATTTGCACGGCGTGGTGACTGGAGTCGAGGCCTGCACGATCTACGACATGTCGGCAGGCGTGCGGAAGCGGATCGCCGACAGTCAATACTCGGAGATATTGGATGGGGTTATGGCATTCCTTATTGCGGAACCCATGGCACGGCCAGCTCAAACGCGATGCTGGGAACGCGTGGTGATGGCGCAAAAAAGCAGAGGGTCACACTGCTGCAGACGTACCCGGGGTGGGATTTGCGCGGAGAGACACAACTCTTGTTGTTTTGCATATTGGTGATATCGTCTCAGGTGTGATGCAGGCGGCGAGGTGCATACGCCTATCGATTATGGAGCGACTCTGCCCATCAGCTGCACAAGGATGGCATGCATAGTGCGAGTAGTGCGAAGCTTATTGCGGCGCGACATTGCACGAGGCTGGAGCGAAGAAACAAAAAGGCGAAATGAGGCTGACGCTGGGGAGGATTGGGGGGCGTGGTGTGTTCCTGCAGTAGCGCCAGGCAGGGCGAACTAAGTGAGCCCTGGCTGCTGGAGCTGTTCTGGTGCTGTCATGGCTACCCTAGCCCCGCTCACCCCACCAACCTCATCGTAGCCCATCGTGAGATCAGTCAGCGCAGGGTCACGCGCTTTCGTTGCTTGTCCAGTACACACCTATAGGCACGTCACACCACCTGAGAAAGAAAAACATGGCGCCCGACTTGAACACCCTGCCCGCTTCCCCTCATGCATCGCCCTCGCCCCGCAACCAGTCGCCGACAAACTCACTCACCATGGCTACTTCACCGCACTCGCTCGCTGCCACTGCCGCCATGAATGCAGGCATCCACAATGAAGAGACGCGCCGACCCTCTTCAGGTAGCATGCGCAGGGACGTAGAGCGCGCCCGTCGCCGATCAAGCATCCGCATGAACCTCAACTTGAACGACCCAGCTATCCCAGCGCCTGGAGAAATGCAGCAGAGTCCATCCTCCCGCAGCAGAGGCCCATGGCCGCATAGCCCGCACCATGAGCGCACTCCTAGCCTGGGCGAGCTCCACCAAGAGCTAGAGTACGAGCAGGAAGGGCAGGTGGTAAGTTGGTCGACATAGATTCTGGTCGTAGTAGACGGCACGAATGTCTTCTATACTAACATTGCTAGAACCGCCTGCTCAACATGATCCGCAGCCAGCAAGCCCAGATCAACACTCTCCAGGCCAACCAGCCGCAACCTTCTGCTTTCGCTGTAGATGATGGCACACCAACCTCGGAGCGCTCCATGTCTATCCCTCCGTCGCTCTCACATTCTACACACATTTCTCCACCTGTCACTTCGCCTTTGCCGTCTGCTGCACAACCACGGTCTCGCTCGCCCTTTGGCTTTGGTACCATCAGTCGTCAATCGTCTTTTGCGGACCGTTCCCGCCACAGCAGCCATGCCGGCTCTCCGGCTCTACGACCTGTACCAGGCCAAGCAGGACCCTACGATTCCCATGATATGCTCCCCAGCCCAGCAGCGACTTCAAGAGACGAGAGTGCCTTCTACCAGGCCGAGACCCAGAATCTGACCCGGGAAAACCAGATGCTAAAGCTAAGGATAAGAGAACTTGGTACGTACCTACCACGACATCACAATCAAGTACGTTTACTAACTCGACAACCCTAGAGCGCCAACTAGCAGACCAGAACCCCACCAGCCAAGTCACCCATTCGCCCACCGTCCACTCCGGTCTTGCTCCTGCTTCGACTCACGAAAGCACAGATCGGAGTAGCGAGGGCGGTCAGCCGCCTGCGTCCACAGAGTAGGACTTTTCGCTAGACTGTGTTTCACGGGCGTTCGGTTCAGGTGCCTCCTCTCATGACATTGATGAAGCGTGTTGGCGTAGGAAAAAATGATGCTGCATGGTTAAACGGCGTTTGAAGTAATTCCGAGTAACGAGTGGTGAGCATGAGCTCCTTCCTAGCAATCCTCCAGGTGCAGTCATGGTTGTGAATGGCAATGTATCCTCTCCACTTTTTCTTGTTCTGTGTGCGGAAGAATATATTCCTTACTTCTCACCTTGCTCCACGGAACGGCTGGCCGATGTGTTGCTACATGGATGATGCAACCGATGACTGATCCCAGCGCCAGGGAAAATCCATGCATCTGTCCCGACCCTTTCTTGCCATCTGTTCATTCCATTTTCTTCATTCTCCACCTTGGCGTAAGCGATGCGCCAATATATCGAAATCGCGGTATGGGCTCCCGAGGTGTCTAAGACATGAGTCGGCCTGTTTGATGTACATTAAGTGTCACCTCCCACCAGCAACATGACAAACAACGACCCCACTTCAACCACTCTGAGAAATTACTAGTACCCCGCACCGATTGCGTGTCAACGTTCTCGATGCATTCTTCATCTGAGCCTGCGGAAGCGGCAAAGCCGTCTCATGTACAGGCTAGTCTAGGTCCCAAGGATCTAGTTTACCCTATCATCAGAACGTATCTTCAGTAAGAACGAATGCAAAATTATGGAGAGACATAAACGTGTCGAGTAGTTCGCAAATGCTGAAGTTATTGGTTCGAACATGAAAAATGTTAAGCGCTCGAAAAGAAGTAGCAAGAACGGTAGCTACACCAAATCGTGTACAGTGACCCTGGGATCCGCCAGAACGCTTCGTACCATATGTCTCCAGAATCCATAAACGCTCGTACGATGTTAGACATCTCAGTCTAGTATTTGCACATGTGTTGATGGATGTGAACCGCTCTCATGAACGCCTATGCTCCGTCCTGCTAACCCATGCAAAGTATCAAACTACCTTCAGTCCGCTCAAGAGCACGTATCCTACTCGTCCTCCACCTCCTCGACTGTCGCACGCGGTGCTCGCTGCGTGACAGCACCCTCTGGCGCGGCTTCTGAACCTGTGGGCTGTGGTGCCGAGTCGACAGGTGCAGAAGCAGGGGCTGCAGCGGGCGCTGGAGCGGGCGCTGGAGCAGCTTGAGCAGCTTGAGCAGGTACAGTATCGATAGAGCCCTTCTTAGGCTTTCCACCTGCGGCCTTTGCTGCTAGTTTGGCAGCCTTCTTCTCCTTCTTGGCAGCCTTCTTTGCCTTGACATCTTCAGGGGTCTGGGATTGTCAGCTTTTAGTTCATAGAAATCGAGGGGAAAAAAACGTACCTCTTGCCACGCCCATACTGGTCGGAATGAGTCAAAGAAACCAACATCCTCGAACAAGTTAGGGTAAAGCCATAGACCAGGAGGCACCGCGAAGATAGTGATCATAAAGATGATGAGTCGAACGATTGCCATGGCGAAAAACAACCCAATAAGGCCAAGCATGCCCATACTCAGGTACCAGACTCCCTGTCGCAAGAAAAGCGGCCAAAGAGGGAACAAGACTATTGCGATGACAAGAAGCAGGGCACCAGCAGCGTACAGCTTCTGCTTCCATTGCGATCCTTCGTATAGCCAGATGTAGTAGTTGTCATCGTTTGCGTCCTGGTGCTGCTCGATCTTTACTGTCCACAAGCCCTTGACACGCTTAGGCTTCGCATGGTTGTGACCTTCGTGCGCGTTCTCGTCGACCTTTGTGACTCGAAGCGCAAGGAGAGAGAGGGGTAGGAGCTTGAAGCAATTCTCGGCGGACGCACGGTCGTTGACTTCGGGGAGGAGAGGGTTCTTAGCACGGGCTTTCTGGTATGCAGGCGACTGGAGCGCGCGGATTGCTCGCTTGACTGTTACAGATTAGCAGATATCCTCCTAGAAGTAGGTTGTCGTATCTAATGCCCACCTCTGAACATATCCTTCCTCTTCTCGTCGTGTACAACCGTCCGAGGTTTCAAGTCCTGCGACTTCAGCCAGTTGGCGACCGCAATCGCTTCTGGTTTTGGCGGTCCAGGCTGGATAGGCTGCTGCTGAGCCCGCTGTTGCGCCTGCATTTGCGCCTGCTGCTGGGCCTGCTGCTGAGCCATTGCTTGTTGTCTCAGTCTTTGGACGTATTCTTGAACTGATATTCCGTGTTTCTGTGCCTCTGCTTGAAGTTGCATTTGAATCTGTTGTATCTGCTCGGGCGTGGGCCTTTCACCATTGGGTCCTAGGGGAATGGGAATAGAAAAAGAGCCTGGTGGTGGCCCGCCTTGAGGGGGACCTTGCTGTGGTGGGGGACCTTGTTCGGCCATGGTGAAGGTGAAACTCGTGGCCGCGGGCGGGATAAGTTGCAGCGGTGACTATGCGAAAAATCGCTTATGGTGGAAGGCGTACGGAGAGATATGGGTTCTGTGACTGACAAGAGGGACATTCGTAATAATGCCAGATTACATCAAACCGCGACTGCTTTCGGTTAGTCGACCATCCCAGCCGCGGCGAATGGTAGGGCCGGGGGCTTGGCAGCCGCCGATGCAACAAAATCTCTGCGAGCTACAGACCTTTGCTTTCTTCACTATCATACACGACAACTTGCACCACACTCCCTTGGACGCCTTCACGACTACACCCATTGGTCTGCACCCTGCTCATGGCCATGACTATCCAACGTCGCCGTTACGCCCCTGTACTGGGTGAATACTAGAGACGCAGTATATGTCGAAAACTGCGACCTAGATTATCTCAAACTAATCGTAGCTACTCAGTACCTGCATCCAATCTACGTCTCTGGCTGCTATGCGCCCGAGGGGCAAGCCTGGCTTTTGCGACACGGCGTCAAAGTTCGCTTGGAACGGCGGCGCCTTGTGTCGCTTGAGCGCACGCAGTGCATCGATAGACAGTCCCGACAAGCAAACTTGGATATCAATATCAAGTCAGCTTGATAGCTCGCTACCTGGCGGCGATTCTTTATGCTCGTGATGTTCACTTCACCAACACTCTGGCCCTTACTTCCCTTACTGTATAGGCCTATTTTGGTGTGAAGAAGAGGAAATGACCCATTACTCACCGCGTTGTCTTGCCTTTTGGTTTGGCTCCAGTGGTCCTTTTTCGAGGTCAACATACACATACATGGAAACATGTCTCTTGATGAGCATGCTGTCAACTATGCAGCTTACGCTTCCGACCTATGTCGGTTTCTTGGTACACTATGCGGATCGACATGCGCGTGGCACATGAAACGCGGCATCAGTGATGACTTCCTCTGCTGGTGATTCGACATGTGAAGGCCGACATAAGCATGCGTGTGGCGTTTCTGTCAGCCATGACGAACAGCCAGCCGTACGCGGCGGTAGTCTTGCCTAAACACAAGGGGCGTCCGGGGCGCCTCATCTTCTATGCCCTAAGCTCAAGCAGAAGGCCCGGCTCGACGAAGTGACAAAGAAAGGGCACGGCGGGCTGTTGGGTCATTGATGCATGGTGGTGGATATTGCGGCACCTGCATTGATGGACGCGCTGGTCGATTAGAGGGCTGATTGGCGTTGGAGATCGCCGTGAACGTTGGAATGGACTAGGGCCCTTGCAAGCCGCCGTCTCTCGCGGCTTGATGGCTCTGCAGCCCGCCCAAGTGGAGTTGTGGACGCGCAGTGCGGAGAGCATCAGGACCGACTTTTCTTTTCAACGAGTCGGTGTGGGAGAGATCGGTATATTGCGCGCCATCTAGACATCTGTCCGGAGACACATATCGTGAGGCCCGGCCGTCAAGCTCGATCATCGATCATCACCGGAAACCCCCAGACGCCTGTCGTGCTGCGGCAGGGATCGCTCCAAGCCACCACTCGAACGACTGAGTGCATACGGAAGTGGATAGGCCTGCCGCTGCTTGGTCTCCGCCGCACCACACCTCGTCATCTCTCGCGCCCGCCTATCCGCCGACAGTGTGAAAAAGCAGGCATCGCCGCCTGTGCTGAGCGCTGACATTCTCGCCCTCCGACTCGGGCGCTGGATAGCTGCAGACACGCAGCCAGACAGAAACGACGTGACGGACCGCTGCTGCGCCCCAGGTCGCAGCCCGTACCACGCTTATCCTGTGCTCGAAACCCGCTGCTGTGCGCCCTCCGCGCAGACGACTCCCGTTCCGCGACACGACGCCCAAACCGCGTCCTACATACGACCTACGATCGCGCAAAGCAGCCGCCAGTGAGTGCGCAGCCAGACAGGCGGCTCTGGTGCATGCGAGTGGGTACATTCCAGACAGACACGTCTAGGGACCCGCCCTTACATAGACACCGGACACTGCTGTCCTCGCATATCCTCATCCATCACACGCTGACTGACGCCCGAGGCGACCGCCACACTCCTCACCTATCCAACCCCGTAAAACACCCGCCATTGCCGACGCCGTACACAGACGCCCCTTTGCTGCTCCGCGAAGCCTTTACACGAGCGGACAGCATCTGCGACCACCGTATCTCCAACTACCGCCGGGGTCTCTGCTGGTGACGTGCCAGTACGGGGACGCCCGGTGCTGAGGAGTCTTAGTCACGCCCCAAAAGACATGTCAGTCGTAGCAGACGGGCGACGATTTCGCGAAGGCATCGGCACCAGTCGCTCCTGGTGAGGCTGTGTCGTAGACCAATCCTACCCTACCACCTCTGAACATTACACCCACAATCTCTCTGATACACTGTCATCGCCCCAGAGTCCCTCTAGCGGCTCCCCCACCATGACTATGGTTCGGCAGTACCCCCCGCAACCGCCGTCGCAGCTTCCCTCGACCGTGGCCTACAACAACATCGCACCTGCCCCATCTCACCCCTCGTTCCTTCGCAATGCCACCAACCTCGAGGGTCATAGCCTTGCCCAGCACGCAAGACCGCAGCAGTACGCCCATCCGCTATCGAGACATAACTCATATGGCTCGCAGCCTTCCGAAGCTGGCCGCACACCTAAACCTGCAGAGCACATGCTTCGCCGTAAGACGCCTAACGGAATCTTGGCAGCTGCGTATGATGGCACATCTGTTGAGAAGAACGGAGAGCCACATGCAACCAAACACATCCTTCTTCCCGTGACAGCTGAATCAAAGTTACCGTACGGTGTCAAGCAGGACCTTCCTCTGCGCTCACCGGGTATCAACAGTGGCCTAGGACATAACCCACAGGACACGTCAGAATGGAGTCCCAGTCGCTACTTCGAGACCGGTACAGGGCTCCCGGGCCAGCATCTACCCCAGATTGATTCTATGCTCAACCAAATTCCTCCATTGCAACCTCTTCTACCCCATCAAATGTACGGCCATCCCTTCTGCGGACCCATGGGCCCACCCTTTCAGACGCCGCTGAATCCAACTGTTTCTAATGACCAAGGGCCGTTTGGACCCTATTGGCACGACGGCACTTACATTCCCTACCGCCCTGCTGCTATGCGGGATCCTCGCTTCTTACATCATCCCAGTCATAACTGGAGTCACCCTCACAGTAACGCCTACAATAGCCACGCATACAATGCCATGCCCAACTATACTCACTATCAGCAAAACCCCATTCACCTAGATTATGGCCAACCCGCGTACAACCATGCAGGGAGGCCGTCAGTAGATTTCCCACCCTATGGACAGCCTCAGAATCATGTCGCGCTAGACTACCAGAATCAGTCGCTTCCTCCTCCGCTTACACAACGTGCCCAGGACTATCTGAACTCTGGCCAGACAACGCCAGTCCAAGAGTTCACCCCGGCTATACCGAACGACGAGTACGGGCTGCAGTCACCAAATGGCCAAAGCAGAGAGAAAGTATTCGCTTGGGCTCACGCAGTATATGTCGACCTACTCAGGTACCTGCAATCAACACGCAAATCAAATTCACAAAATGCCCATGGTCGCGTCAATCACAGACCCCACATCTATCCGAAGCCACCACGACAACCTGGACTCAGCCTTTCGAGTTCTGCTACTGGTAGCATGCCGTCTCTAGAGCGACGTGTCTCGTATCCTGTTCCTACCCAATATGCTTCCCAATCCAGAACAGAGTTCGCATCCAGGAGACCTGCAATGCCGCATTCGCGCTCTCTGTCTGCGTGGTCAATAGGCAGTGCAGATCCCAATGGTCAATCTTGGCAAGGCATGGCGCCACAACACCCCATGCTCCCCCCAATGCCAGGCATGGAGCCACCACGTACCCTACGGCGAACTTCCGGCTCTGTTGCCAGTGCTCATCAAAACCTCCGCCAGGGTTTGCCTCCGAGCATGACGGCTGCCTCAGCACTCGAAGCGATCACCAAGCATTGCGAAGAAAGTAAATGGAGCTGGATAGACGGCATTCTTCTGGGCGGTTGTCTAGCATATGCACTAGGTGACTACCAAAAAGCCCAGGATTGGTACAAACATATCCTTACGTTGGATAAAGAGTGAGTACACTACGTTCTGAACCCGAAACACACTAACACGACTTAGTCATGTTGAAGCAATATCGAATCTTGCGGCCACTATGCTTGCTCTCCAACAGAAGCGCGAAGCAGAAGACTACTGGAGACGCGCAGTCAAACTTCGACCCAGTTACTTTGAGGCAGTTGAACACCTGATTGGCTTACTTTGCAGCGACCATAAAGGTCGTGAAGCGGTTCAGGTCATTGAAGAAGTCGAACGCCAACTGAGATTCGCCAAAAGAGCTGACGCTTTGAAGAGCCTCGAAGCCGAAAACGAACGGGCTGCTTCCGAATTGAGTGAGTCGAGCGTCTCGGAAGCATCAGATCGGCCCATCTTTGAGTTTGAAGGAGAGGACGAGGCCATCTTCAAGGATCTGGATGAGCTTCCTGGCTCGGACCAGCCGGGCTTCGGTTCAAGCGGATATGCTGTTGCTGGTAGCGACAACGGTCGTGTTCTAGCTCTAGTACATGCCAAGGGCAATATGCTTTACGCTCTTGGTGACAATGCCGGTGCTGCCAGAGCTTTTGAGAACGCAGTGCTCATTGGAGCTGGACCCCACCCTAACGGTATCGATGGCCTCATTAGGCGCATTCTTGCTGTTGTTGGGTACGATGTGTCGGAACGCTCTCCAGGAGGCCGTCGTATGTCTCCATCATCTGATCCGATCCTGTTACCGCCAGATGCGGCTACTAGGACGGCTCAGCTTTGTTTCCAGCCGCACGGCCAACTGCCTGGTCTCAAGCACGTTCCTAGTGAAGGACTTTCTAGAAAAGCGGCTATATCGACCACAAGCAACTCTTTGCTGTCATTAGCGAAGATCTTCCAAGACGGTATGGCAACTAATTCACCCAAGACTACCGTGTACCAAAGCAATTACGGTGTGCGAGAAATCTTAGCACTTTACTACCTATCGCTCTCATTACAGCCTAGTCCGTCGACAGCCAACAACGTAGGCATACTCCTCGCTAGCGTACAGCAGTCCGCGCCTTCCAAGGCCAGTCCAATGTCGCATGCGTTCGCACATCCTCAAATTCCTGGACTCGTCCCCGGCAGTGGAGTAGCTCTTGCGCTTGCCTACTATTATTACGGACTCCAACTGGACCAGTCCCATGCACACCTCTACACGAACCTCGGAAGCCTCTTGAAAGATATTGGGCAGCTAGATTACGCCATAAACATGTACGAACATGCCGTGAAGTGCGATTCTAACTTCGACATCGCTCTTGCCAATCTGGCCAACGCTGTTAAAGACAAAGGTCGGATCGCCGATGCTATCTATTACTACAAGAAAGCCGTTAAATCCAGTCCTGACTTCGCTGAAGCTGTTTGTGGGCTTGCCAACGCCCTCAACTCTGTCTGTAACTGGGCTGGTAGAGGTGGCATTGCTGAAGATGGTGGTTCGAGAGATCGTTGGCACGTGAACGATAGCGGCATGCTTCTGGACGCAAGGATCCCTGGTGCATCAAGCTCCGGTTGGATTCATAAGGTTGTTAAATTGGTCGAGAAGCAACTTGCCGATGGTGAAGATTGGGGTCGAGGCATGATGAATGAACAGTTCATTCATGATGTTGTTCGTCCATTGTCCCTCACAGGGAGCGTACAAGATGTAAAAGAGAAGGAAACCAGCATGGTATCTGTCTTGCATAAGTGGAAAGGACAAAAGTGGGAAGGCGCTCGCATCGTGCGACTTGTCGAGCGTGCTATACGATGGATGACTTGGCAATGGTACCAGGACCGCTACATTACTGGAACGCAGCGACCGCCGATGTCTTACAAGAGGCCCCAACTGCCAGCAGCTCTAACGGTACCCGCAGCACCTACCGTCCTTCCTTTCCACACATTTACGTGCCCTATGTCAGCTAAACAGATTCGTCTCATCTCGCAACGCAACGGACTACGCATCTCGACCTCGACGTTAAGGGTCCCTTGGCTGCCGCCAACCGTCTACCAGCCTCCTGCGCCACCACAACCATATCTGAAGGTTGGCTACGTATCGTCAGATTTCAACAATCACCCATTAGCCCACCTAATGCAGTCGGTATTTGGTCTTCACAATCCAAGCAGAGTAAGGGCATACTGTTACGCTACTACAGCGAGTGATGGATCGGAGCATCGCAAACAGATTGAAAGAGAATCGCCGGTGTTCTACGATGCCAGCAGTTGGTCAGCGGAACGACTTGTCCATCAGATAACTCACGACGGTATACATGTCCTTGTGAACCTGAATGGTTACACTAGAGGCGCACGAAATGAAGTTTTTGCTGCCCGTCCTGCGCCCATCCAGATGGCTTTCATGGGTTTTGCAGGCACTCTAGGCGCCGAGTGGTGCGACTATCTACTCGCCGACGACACCGCTGTACCTCCGGATACCCTCCGACAGTGGCGCCGTAACGTCGATCTCGAAGATGCCCTCGTAGATGACAACAGTGGTGGAAGTGATGAGGAATGGATCTATGGAGAGAACATTGTCTTCTGCCGAGACACCTTTTTCTGTTGTGACCATCGACAGAGTGCTCCGGATTCACAAGGACGACAGCCCAACTGGGAGGAAGAGCAGCAACGACGATGGGCCATGCGCAAAGAAATCTTTCCGAACCTCTCGGACAATGCGATCATTCTTGCAAACTTCAATCAGCTGTACAAAGTAAGTTTATTCATGCCATAACTAGCAAGTCGGTCGTATTCTAACATTTACCGTTAGATTGAGCCTACTACGTTCCGTACCTGGTTGCGCATTCTCGAAAAGATACCTAATGCAGTCCTGTGGCTCTTGCGATTCCCCGACCTTGGCGAAACGAACCTCAAACAGACAGCTCTTCTCTGGGCAGGTGCAGAGGTGGCAAGTCGCATCATGTTCACCGACGTCGCGCAGAAACATCAGCATATCTCCAGGGCCCGTGTGTGTGATCTCTTCCTCGACACACCAGAGTGCAATGCACACACGACTGCTGCCGACGTTCTTTGGTCTGGAACACCGCTGCTTACGTTACCCCGCTATAAATACAAAATGTGCTCCCGTATGGCAGCCTCGATTCTTAAGGGTGCGCTACCGAAGACGCCAGCGGGTGCGCAAGCGGCAAAAGAACTCATTGCCATCAACGACGATGAATATGAAGCCATGGCTGTTCGCCTTGCGCGTAATTGCACCTACAATGGGCACCGAGCCCAGGGCCGCCTGAGTGAGCTTCGCCGTATGCTTTACGAATCACGATGGACAAGTCCACTTTTCGACACCAAACGATGGGTCAGAGACCTAGAAGACGCTTATGAGATAGCATGGAAGAAGTGGAAGAAGGGTGAAGGTGGCGATATCTGGTTGCAACATGAACAACCCTCGCGCGCTTAGCGAGTTACATTCATCCTTCTATTAGACCGACGGCATAGCGTCTCTCTGAGACGAGCATTACACATACACCTGGGTTAGACCCTGTGGGCATATTTTCGAAAGGCTTCTGGATTTAGCGAGCACGTACGTTCGTCGTTGTTACTGTTCTTTGTTCCTATACCCCATATTGATTTGGATTGGATATTATGGATGTTTAACTAGGTTTATATGGCACCATTTGCCGTTTGTGAACGGAGTAGATAGCTTCAATCGCTTTCTCGGACCGCATTTTCTTCGGCGTTGGCTGGACGGCATGGCATTGTGGTAGAACCAAATATCACTCACTGATCGCGTTCACTTTTTGCGCTTGTCATAAACTGGAAACGTATCCTAGCTGCGCGCGATGCCCAACGTTGGTTCAATGGGGTTATTCAACTCTAAAAACAGAATCAGCTCAGTTTCTTGAATGTCAAGGTTTGACGTGTACGACCAACACTTCTCCGCCTGCATGTACACATCGTCGTTTAATCATTCGCTTTCTTCAATAGACAACATCGAGTGTGAACCGGCGTTTTACGGTGATTCTCCTTATTCTGGATAAGGAGCTGCGAGTTCGATCGCGACACTACAGTGCCCGTGCGCCAGATGATCACCAACGCCAAATGATCACCCCCACCACCACCACCACCACCACACAACTTCAACGCGTCATAACTCAACCAATATGGATCCGATTCAAGAAGCGATTGAAGAAATCGAATCGCGTGAACCAGGAGAACATTTCTCGTACCAACAACTCGCCAAGAAGTATGGCGTCAATCGCTGTACGCTCGCCCGAAGGCACAAGGGTCTAACAGAGGCATATGGCGTAAAGCACCTCTCCCTCCATCCACAACACGAAACCGAGCTTGTACGATACATCGATACGCTTACCGAACAATGTTTGCCACCTACAAGGGAGATGATACAACGCTTTGCTTCAGATTTGGCTGGAAAAGCGGTTTCAGAAACCTGGGTTTCCCGGTTCCTCCACCGTCATCCGAACCATCTCATCTCTGGCTACAGCAAGGGGATAAGCAAACTTCGTTGCAACGCCGATTCAGGAGCCAAGTACAGCTTGTATTTCAAGCTTCTAGTTGAAAAGATGGAGGAGTACAACGTCCAACCCTCCCATATATTCAATATGGACGAAAAGGGGTTTCAACTTAGAAGGATTGGCAGAACAAAGCGTATCTTCTCTAAGGCACGTTGGGATAAAAAGGGGGTACGCCAACCGCTTGAGGATGGCTCAAGTGAGTGGATCACCGTTGTGGCGTGTATTTGTTTGGATGGGATCGTATTGAGTCCTTCTCTCATCTTCAAGGCAGCCAACGGAGCTATACAAACAAGCTGGGTTGATGCTGTACAAGCAGGAAACCACTCAGTATTTACTACGTCATCACCCTCTGGCTGGAGCAACAACGATATCGGGTTACATTGGCTCAAGGAGGTGTTTGAAAGAGAAACCCGGCGGCATGCTTCAACTAGGTATCGATTACTACTCCTTAATGGCCATAGATCTCATGTTACAATGGACTTTATTAATTATTGCTACAACCACAAGATCCTGTTGGCTGTTTACCCACCTCACGCTACCCATACGCTTCAACCACTTGATGTAGTGATGTTCAAACCTCTAGCGAACGCTTACTCAACTGAGTTGACTCAATACCTTCAAAACAGCCAAGGGTTACTCAATATAACCAAAGGAGACTTCTTCCCGCTCTTCTGGAGGTCCTGGACCAAGGTTTTTAAACCTCCCCTCATCAAGAGGTCCTTTAAAGCAACTGGTATACACCCACCCAACCCAGACGTTGTACTCAGTAAGTTTGCCAAGGAGGGGTTAGATTCAGAAGCCAGTTCAACCTCTGTACTCTCCGGGGAGGATTGGCTCAAGCTGAAGTCAATTGTACGTCGTGAGGTGAGGGATCAGAGCAGCAAGGGCGTCAGGAAGCTTCAACGAAGTTTACACCACCTTGCAGCTCAAAATACACTCCTTCACGGCGAACTCAAAGGCCTCAGGGAGTCCCTAGCCATCAAGAAGAGGCGGGAAACCAAATCCTATACCCTACAGCTTGAGGATCATCCTGAGTATCATGGTGGAGCTGTTTGGTGGTCACCAACAAGCGTCAAACGAGCTCGCGATCACAAGATACAACAACAACAACAAGCCGAGCTTGAAAAGCTTCAAAAAGCCGAGCAAGCCGAGATCAAGAAGGCAGCTCGCGATTGTGAGGCTCAACTCAAAGCTGTGAAGCGTGTAGAGCGGGAGAGACGGGCGGAGGAGAAGAGGAAGGAGGAGGCTGAAAAGCTGGCGAAGAAACAACACCAACAGCTCATCAACAACACCAAAAAAGCTTATAAAACTTTCCTAAAAGGGTAAGCGCAAGGCTTCACAACCTTATACGCCAGCTACAAAGCGTCAAAAGCGTGGTGGTGTTGCTCCAGCTGTGGTGGGAGCCGCAAGGGTTGCACGAGCTGCTCCACCGCGTAGTCGCCGTGATCGCGTGATAACGCCCTCCAAAAAATTATCTGAATAAGCCAAATTTCTCGTAGGCCTGTATTTAGTATAATCCTAGCTTTGCGCAATTTTATTACGATTTGTGGTGGCTCTACAACCTCATCTTTTTGACTATATTGAGTTGTTGGGGGTGATCATTTGGCGTTGGTGATCATCTGGCGCACGGGCACTGTAGCAATGCTTAGCGCGATCGCACCTCCACTGATCCTTTCCCCTTGGATCCGACCAGACACACTACAGCCAACGACATCAATTGTTTTCAGATTTCTTGGTTGACACAAATACCATCTTTACTCACATTCGACGCGCTATGGCTCCACGCAAAAAGACCGCTATAGCAGCCAAGTCCAGCAAGACTACGAAAAATAGCCAAACTAGCATCACTGCCCCGTCAGCTTCTCTGGTAGCAGCGCTACCGCCATCGCGCGTGCACGATACGTCATACCACTATCCCGTACTTCTCAGCGGCCAGTCTGGATGCGACGCGCTGTTGAGTTGGTTTAGTGGCGTCGCGGAGACACGTAGCATGCCATGGAGGAAGAAGTGGATTGACCCGGACGAGTATGAAGACGAAGAAGAACTTGGACGCGTCTTATCAAAGAGGGCGTATGAGGTTTGGGTGTCTGAAGTTAGTAAGTACGCGTTTTAAATGTGGGTGGTTGCAAACATTGGGCCATCAAGAACGCGTAAACGCGCTGTCACGTGTTCTTCCGGGAACTGTTGCCGGCTCTTTCTCATCACTATTCCACACGTCTAGCCAGCTTCGGATTGGGTAGGATTTCGACTGACCTGATTTCAGTGCTCCAACAAACTCGCGTTTCGACAGTTATTCCCTACTTCAATAATTGGATCGCAAAATGGCCTACGGTTCAGGATCTTGCCGAGGCAGACCATGACGATGTCCTCTCTGTGTGGAAGGGGCTTGGTTACTACTCACGTGCCACACGCCTTCATGAAGGTGCGAAAGCCATGATCGCCAAATCTGCCGGTGCTTCCTGTGCTCTTCCGAGTGGTGCCACAGAGCTACAAGAATTCCCCGGCATTGGACGATACACTGCGGGCGCAGTGTCGAGTATCGCATTTGGCGAGGCAGAACCCGTCCTCGATGGCAATGTGATGCGCGTGCTTAGTCGACAGCTGGGCTTGTACATGGACGTCAAGGACAAGAAAGCTACCGACGTAATGTGGGATATGGCGGATCAACTCATCAAACATGCCTCTAACTTTCCGGAAACGCGCACAAGTGCCGTACCAGGGTTATGGAATCAAGCGCTCATGGAGCTGGGTTCCACTGTCTGTACGCCGCGACCCAAGTGCGATGAGTGTCCTATTCAGGCGACATGCAGGGCCTATAGCGAAGGCAAGGCGTTATCTGACAAGCTTCAATCACCGGCTGTAGTACCTGACATCGAGGATGCATGTTCTCTCTGCGTGTTTTTGGACACCGAAGATTTGGTTGCAGTTGCTGAAGATGCAGCAGATGATGAGCCGCCGCAAGCGACCAAGAAAAGAAAAGTGACTACAAAACAAAGCAACAAAATCTCACAGTACTTTGCTGTTGGCACACCCAAGTCAAATGTGGACACCGAAGACGATGAAGAGGATCGTGGCAGTCCACCTGCTGAGGATTTGAAGAAGCGGAAGCTATCGCTACCTACCAGGGAGTCAAAATCGATCCCGACATACTGCTCGCTCTTCCCGAAAAAGGTGGCGAAGAAGAAGTCCGCTGAAGAAGATTGTGTAGTGTGCATGGTAGAGTTACGCTCAGCAGATGGCAGCAATAAATGGTTAATAGAGCAAAGGCCCGCCAAAGGTACGTTGTGCACCACCATGCTAAAGCACTGCTGACGAATCTGTGAAGGTCTCCTCGCATCACTTTGGTACGTAATAAACACATGCTATCATGGAGACATTACCAGGTAGCTTCTCGGGTACTTCCCAACGCACATTACCGTGCAGCTTCGTGTCATGTTTCATGATAGGCCCAATCCTCGGGTTCTCTTATCTTGGTAGTGCAGGGGGCGTTCGCTGACTGTGGCACAGGCAATTCCCGCAGAGCCCGCTGACTGCATCACAAAAGACGCCCCAGCAGCGCAAAACATTGGCGCAGCAGTATATCTCAGGTCTCGACGCCGGCACAACTGATATGAGCAAAGCGCGTTATGTTGCGAGTTTTCCGCCATTGGTCCATGTCTTCACCCATTTGAAGCTTACCATGCATGCCTATCAGTACAGGATTGACGCCGATAACGCCGACCATATCGAGCTTATATGCAAGGGCCCGCCCGCCCGCAAATGGGTAGACAGTGGATCCATGGACAAGGAGACGTTGTCCACGGGTATGCGCAAGTGCTGGGACCTTGTTTCAAAGAGTCTTCATTGATGTGGTGAGTATTTGCGACCGAGGGAGCTGCGGATGGGTCCCACATGCGAAGTACCCCACGTCCCGTTATCTTTTGCCAAGCGATACACATGGCTTCCGCCTTCCGCCTTCTTGGCTGTATCCACTCCTCCTCCTAGTGTCCTGGGGAAGTGGAACGATAAGGAACGTTAGGTGCCTCTAACTATGCCAGTCAAAGACATTCCTTCCTTCCCATGACTACGGTTCCGCTAGTGAAGTGCTGATTGGATGCATACGACGCGCTGCATATCATGATATCCTGGGAAAGACATGGTACGCTCGTGCGACCGAGATACGGGTGGAAAAGGAAGGCCTAGATATAAACATGGTAATTCCCCGGGGATTTGGTTCTACAAATTGCTCCAGGTACACAGATTTTAGTATTTTGCTCAGTCGAGCGTAAGCAACCTGCTGCTAACATGGCGGATGTGCCAGCACCAACCCCAATCACTGAATGGCCGGATTATGCTGTCGACCCTAACGGTGGAAATGTTATGACCACTGACCTCAACGCGCTCTACGACAAGGGCGACCTGTGCTGGATGCTGGTTAGCACAGTACTATGTTGGTACGCTACTTGCTTTTCACATCTACTGGAAAATACTAATTATGAGTAGGCAAATCACACCTGCGATCGGTTTCCTTTACGCAGGAATGCACCGCCGGAAAGCAGCGCTTACCATGATCTTTCAATCCCTTTTCTGCGCATGCGCGGTAGGCATCCAATTCTGGGTGTACGGTTACTCCCTCTACCAGTCACATACCACGGGTCCTTTCATAGGAGATTTGTCCAAAGCAGGTTTACACAACACTCTTGGCTCACCTTCGCTCGCGAATGCGGATATCCCAGACATCCTTTATGCCGCCTTTGGTTTCACGTTTGTCACCTGCACCGCAATGATCTTGGCAGGAGCGATGCTTGAGCGAGGGCGTCTAGGGCCGTCGATGATATTCTTGCTCTGCTGGACCACTTTCGTGTACTACGTACTCGCATATGCGGAATGGAATCCTAGTGGTTGGCTTTACAAACTCGGAGTCCTCGATTTTGCGGGTTCTGGTCCTGTGCATATTGCGTCTGGATTTTCTGCTTTAGCATGGGCGTTGATGCTGGGCAAGCGTGTCGATCCGCACAAGGAGTCGCATCATCCCAGGATTCCGCACTTCAAGCCTCACAGCCCTTTTCTTGTTGGGCTCGGCACGATATTGATCTGGTTCGGATGGTTTGCGTTCAATGGTCAGTAGCGAGTGTATGTTTAGATTTTGAAGAGACAAACTGACTATCTGTAGGTGCCTCTGGTGCTAATATCACCATTCGTTCTGTTTACATCGTCTGCAATACCAACCTCGCAGCCTGTGGCGGCGGTATGGCATGGGTCTTACTGGAGTATATATTCACCCGCAAGTTCTCGATTATCGGCTTTTGCTCAGGCATCATCTCCGGCCTTGTCGGTATCACGCCGGCCTGCGGATTTGTTCCTGTCCAGACATCGGCGCTGATCGGTGCTCTCACTGCTTGCGGATCCTTCTTCACAGTCCGATACAAGTACCTCCTCGGCATTGATGAGGGTCTAGACATCTTCGCCATACATGGTGTTGGCGGCTACATCGGCGACATCATGACCGGTTTCTTCGCTGCGCCCTACGTACCCGCCATGGACGGCGTAAGCAATTTCTACGAGGGTGGCTGGTGGGCTCGGAACTGGAAACAAATGGGATACCAGCTGGCTGCTGCGACTACATGCGCAGCATGGTCATTCGTCATTTCGGCTATCTTGCTGTTCATCATCAACAAAATTCCTGGTTGTCATATTCGCGCGACCGAGGACGACGAGCTGAGGGGACTCGACTACAAATATTTTAGTGATGCGGACGAAGACATGATGGTCTTGACCGGATATGGGCCTAGGACTCCTGGATCAACAGCATCGGGTGCTGCGAGTGGATCCGATAGTCATCAAGACGTACCTGTTGTAACGGAGAAACAAGATTGATGGGGAGGATGTCCGGAGATGACGCTCTGTGCTACTCGTACAGGTCGGCGGCATGCCTTAATTTTCCACTCCCGCAACACTGGCCGCTCGTTTTCACTGGGTTCGAAAACATCCTGCTAGATCATGCTCCTGTATTTGTATATTGTTCCAGTCTTCTCGATAGTCTTCTGCCTTCCGTATTCAGCAATAGAGACGCCATTATTTCGTCTGGTTTGTCTTACTTATTCTTATCACTTGCTTGTCCCATTCTAGGCATCTTCATCTCGCTTCCTGAACGCCACACATCATTCAATTGGCTAATCATCATCGGGTTGCTTTAATGTACCGCGGCATAACGCAGGTCCCAATCGTTAAATCTAACGCGCTTTCCTCTCGCACGGCGCAGCGTCCTCGGCTCCACAAGCGACACGCTTCTTGTCACTTTGTCGGAAAATCAGCAATCCAGCAAGCATCCAGGATGAAGTCAATCGTCGCAATGGCTATCAGTTCCACTACTGTAACGGTTACTGCCGTGCCAGATCCACTTATCACCCCACGGGCTGAACTTGCACCCCGGCAGACATCATCCGGAGATGATCCTGCGCTGCTTGGCTGGGTGGACGCGACGAATGGACAATGTAAGCCGCGCCACTAATCCAACATCCATACTACACCATGCTTCGCCTCTATCAGCACATTGCCGCTAATTGCGCTTCAACGTAGGGTCTGATCTCCGCTCTTGCGATTACCCAGCCACCTACTCGACCTCTGGATCGTACGCCCAATGTTGCGCGCCCGGCAGTTCGGACTGCATCTTCTGGTCATCTTGTAGTGCCGCAACTCTCTTCTCACCACAGACAAGTTTATTCTGCGACCAGGGATATTGTAACACTGCAGTCGTGGTGCCGACCGTTGGTGCTAGTGGGGGTGTAAGCTACCTGGGTTGTTGGGCGACAAGTCTGGGGCAGGAGCCATTTACGCTGATCAGAGACATTGGAGACGGTACGTATGGCATGAGCTTGCGTGGTCCGGAAACATGACGTGCTGATGTTTTTGTAGTTGATGTTGCGCCGTCTTCATCGACTGTGTCTAGCGAGGACAGCACCGCGAGTGCCTCACCTGATTCTACTACCGCCTCTGGATCTACCTCTGAAACGTTGACCAATGGGGCTGAGTCTTCTACCAGTGCCACTCCGACGACGGGTGCTGCTGCGGTTGCTATGTCGGGGTCATTTGCTGGTATGATTGGCTTGCTCGCGATGCTGTTCAGTATGATTTGAAGCGAGACACGACATTCTGAAAGAACAACATGATCACGAATCATGAGTTATTTCACCGTAATAATAGGAAATCAACTGGTGTGTGTTGGAACATATTCCCATCAACTTTAGAAGTCACCTGCTGAGCCGTGTCATCTGGTTGGGCCGACGGTAAGCTTGTGAAGTACCCACCGGCGACAGCTATGCGGAATGCAATCTTTGGTGGTAGTACTAGCTAATCGTCAACACTGTCGTTACTGTTGTCGACTCAACAGGTGTCTTCTTCAGTGATCGTGCTCACAGGCACTAGTAGCAACCGAGGTTCCCGAGCAGCTTGTACAATCAGCTTTAGTACCAACGTGACGTCGCACAATATTTATATAACCGCAACACCGCCACATCGACGGCGAATCGACTATGCAGATCGCGCAACACTACATAACTTCATCCCTGTCATATCTCGTCATCGTTCGGTAAAGCATGAGATCGCTTGAGATACCGGGCGCTAGACAATTCACGAGTCACTTCCATCGCAGAGTTCTAGAAAATCTCGATCCACAACGAAGGCTCAAGCGTCCCAAAATACTTTTGCGTTCTCCACCTCTGCCACATGTGCTGCAGCCCACAGTAAGCATGGTCAACAAGTTCTGTGGCTTCGGAAGCCATGTTGCCAGGCCGGTCCGACGCCGAGCAAAAACGAGTGTACTCTTCGTTGTTCACAACTCGCCGACTCAAGACAGCGATTTTGTGAACACAGCCATCGCTGCACATACCAAAGATCCAGAAGAGTGCGCAGTCCGATGTCTGTAGACATCGCTACCTGTCGTCGATCAAATAACCTGGGGTTGATCTACCCAATTTTGCGGTTCAGGGACAGGATGGAGACGTAAAAGCGATTCCTGGTTCAGGAGCACGATAGCGCGCGACTGAGGAAAGGCCAGGGCCTCAGATCACCGTAGTATGGGTTGGACCCTTCTGAGTACATGCACTGCGAACAGTGGTCTGACCACTGCAAAAGGCTAACACAACGTAGTTTCTCAACATTGGGCTACGCAAATTTTCATGTCCCCAACAACATTTATTCCGTAAGAGAGGGGCATGAATGACATGCGACTTTCGAAACTTGATTGCTATCCACACGGAATGGTGTCTGCAGCACATATGGTATCATCAGTCGGGTAGCCTTATCCTATCCTTCTCGCCTGATACGAGATAATGCCGGTGGTTGTAATGCTAACTATGCCGCACGAGTCATAGCAAGCAAGATGTATTGCCTCTCCCGTACTAGTGGTACACTGCTAACCTAGAATAAACACGAGATCTGTGGATATACAATAGTCCCAGTCGCTAGGGCTGCAGAGCGTTCGAACGGTTTGTCAAAAGAGCATGCGCTTGCAAGCATGCGTCTCTGCACGATTGTGGTTCTTCACCCACAGACATGTTCAGACAGGATCGGAAAGAGCTTCTGAATACGGGGGGCTCCACTGGCAGTTTGACTTATCTTGTCGCGTGTTCTTGTTTGCCTTTTGACTTCATTTTTTCGTTACGCTCTGCCATCTGTGTAGCACTTGTTCGTTCGCTCGGCCATCAACACTCACTTCACTGATAAGATCAGAGGGATATAGTTAATGCTATACCGTTCTTATAATACTTAATATCCTCACGATACTGGCTATTCCATCTATCATTTTCTCATACACCACGCCATCGACGTTTCGGAGCAACGAACAGTCAACGCCTTATTCACGAATCTCAACATGCCCTCAACGACCACCATGAAGCAAAGTCTTGCCACTGTTGTTCTTGCAGCTCTCCCATTAGCCACCCGTGCTCAAGGCACTACACCTCCAAAGGTCGCTGCCGCCTGTAATGATGTAGCAATTTTCATGGCTCGCGGCAATGACGCTCCATACCACGATGGCCGTACTTCGCCTTTCATCGATGCCACTTGCGGCAAATTCCAGGCCCAGGGCAACTCCTGCGATTATATGGATATCGTCTTCGATGCTACCCTCGGTGTAGAGTTTTGCCCTACAATCCAAGAAGGTGCCGTCAACGGCATTAGGCAAATTACCGAGTACAATGCCCAGTGCCCGGACACATTGATTGTAATCAATGGTTACTCGCAAGGTGGTATGGTTTCCGGAGCTCTTTTGAGTGGTGGAGGCGAGGATGCATGCAACGTCGACTCACAAACTCTCGGACTCGACCCTACCTCACAGGCTGGCCAGGCTGTCAAGGCAGCTCTTCTCTGGGGCGATGTTAAGCACACTGCGAACCAGCCTTACAACGTTCTTGATGGAGCAGACAAGCAGGCTTGGCCCCGTACCGGCGCCAACCTTGAGCGCCTGAACCGCTACTCCGCTGTCTTGAGGTCATACTGCGCTGCTGGCGACCCAGTCTGCGCTAATGGAGATGTCATTGCCCAGCATTTGAACTACTTCGAGCTTTACACCGAGGAGGCGTCAAGCTGGGTTGTGAGCAAGCTCACACCTCTCCTGGTCAAAGCTTCATCGTCTGCTGTGCCCTCCAGCTCGGTCGCTCCAGCTCCCTCATCCACAGCTATCCCCGAGGACTCTACGACTGTGGTCACATCAACTGAAACAAGCACCATGGAGGTACCGGTCACTGTCACCAAAGGCGCGGTCAAGCCATCTACTATGATCTCATCATACGTCCCTGTCACCATCCCTCACAAGCACTACAACGCAACCGCTCCGTACAACAACTTTACAATGCCTGTTTCAAGCACTGTCATGACCGCCGACAAGCCTCACGAGACTACCTACCTGCCGGTTGAAGAGTCGCACGCTCCCGCTACCACTAAGGCACCAGAGTACTCAGCCGTTGCTGCTGCCTGTCCACCAGCCACCGTTTACGAGACCGTCACCAATATCGTGACCAAGTATGTATAAAGCAGCTAGTGTAGGGAGGTTGAATTTGGGGTGGAAATCCTAGGAATCATGCTCGATGAATGTATATAATGCCTATTACAAACGAAAAGTGTTTATGTCTCACGAAAAATTATGTCTTGTATCTCATAATGAAGCTTAAGCTGTATTTATTATGCCTTATTTTCTTGTTGATATCCTTAAATGCCCAATGCCTTTGCGATCGCCTCTCCGACCGCTGTCGCACTCGTCGGGTTTTGTCCGGTGATCAATCGGCCAGAAACGGCGACCTTCTCGCCCCAGGGCTCCGCTGCCTTGACAAACTTGCCTCCGCTCGCCTTCTGCAGCGCATCTTCAGGCAAGAATGGTACAGCCTTGGTCAAGCCCACTTGCTCCTCCTCAGCGTTTGTGAATGCGGTAACCTCCTTTCCAGCAACAAGCAGACTTCCGTCGCTCAGCTTAGCGTCGTAGAAGACAGCGGGTGCATGGCATACGGCCGACACGATCTTGTCCGCCTCCCAAAACTCCCTGATAAGTTGTTGTGACGTCGCGTCGTCGACAAGATCGAACATAGGTCCATGACCACCAACGTAGAAGATGGCATCAAACTCCTTCGCCTTTCCCTTGAAGTCGCTCAGCTTCTGGGTATTCTTCCAGACCTGCTCGTCGTTCTTGAGGAAGTTGACGGATACATCGTCTTTCGCGGCTTCAACGGATGCAGGGTCGAGGGGAGCCTCACCGCCCTTGGGGGATGCGACGGTGATGTTGGCTTTGTTGCGTAGGACGTGGTAGGGGTGGGCGAGCTCTGGCAAGTACCAGCCAGTGGGCTTGCCTGTGTCGCCGAGCTTGTTGTGCGAGGTGAGGACGAAGAGAATGCTTGGCTTAGACATTGTGAAAGTTGGATGATTGATAATAGGTATGGTTGAACTGGCGCGCAGAATGGATATACTTTAAGACTTTTGGAAAAGTTCGATGGCTTTCTGAGAGTACCCTGCTTATGCGACGACATGCGGGGTAGCTACGAGATAAAAGGCCCGATTGTGCGGACAGCTTCTCCTGGCCCCTAGGGCGTCATCTTGGAAAATCTGTGTTATCTGTTCGCCGAGGATGTACCTAGGCAGTATTTCAAGGTGGAATAGAGGATACGATCAGCCAGTCCCTAGCAGCTTCTGTGCGATGCACTGGACTACTCTCCACTAAAATCTCGGAGTAGCTTGCATTTCGAGCGAAATTAGGATGACAATGACGTTTTTGCAGATATAGTCTCTTCTTGTGCGTCCAAGGATTCTGTCTCGGAAGCATATGCTACCTAGGTAGGGACTTCCATCTTGACCGAAGAACCTCTAACCAACTACTGCTCCATTGTAAAGACGATCATGCGTCGGATGACCTCATGAGATATGGTGAAGCAGCATGTCTTCCAATAGAACCAAGTGCCAGAATCGGAGCGGAGCCTTTTTGTTATACTGGTGTATATTGACGCTCCTTACCAATCACCTGCGGTAGCTTCGCCCATCTCAGTTTGACTCTTTGCTAGCCCTGTACTAGATGAAGTCGATATGTTCCAGTATCCACGACCCATATTCTTGATTAAGGACGTGATGAAACAGCATGACCGTGAACTCTTTAGATAACGTCAGCCCCACGACTCAATGCATTTTCCTTTTGGTCTCCGCGTAAGCTTAGCACCATAAAAGGTTGCAAGCCATCACGGCATGATCTTCGATGCGGTCGTCTTCGTCGGAATCACCATATCAGTAGAGTCCAATGACCAGTGAATTGCGCCAGACCAGCCGCAGTACACATGTTGCAGAATAATATCGGGATGATGTTGAGGTAAAACCGACGCGACTTCAAACGCGTCTGCGCGTTCCTAGGCTTGGCGCACGTGGAAGTCAACCCCTCCGTTCATGACGTCATCATCGCAATTAACGCTTGCCGACTTAACAAGCTACTCAAGTACTATCGCCGCCGACCTGAAGCTCATCAATAAGCCGATTTTTATGCCGTCGAAAGGTTGGAAATGTAGATGGGCTCTCGGACGTGCTCGCGTTCTGGATCGACAGTTGTAAATCGCATTCCGCTGCTTCAAGCACACATGTACTTATACGGTATCATGACCGACCTCGGGTATCTGCGACAACCACCTGATTTCCTGAGTATCCATGCCGTACGCTTCCAATTTCGGCGGTCATCCCTACTTCGACTGTACGCGTACGGGGAAGCTTCTGGTTGGTCGACTGTTCAGCTGGGTCGCGCAAATAGCCCGATTTGACCTCGCGTTGCATCCAGAGTGTGGAACAACACGAAGGGCCCACGCTGTGTACGGCCTATACGCGTTCGCGTGAAAGCCACATATATCTTTTCCGAATGTGTATAAAAGACGGAGACAGTAGACAGAGTGTATGATTTCAAAAGTACTGTTCAACGTTATGGCATCTTCCGAGAACAAAACTGTCATCATAACGGGTTGCAGCAGCGGCATTGGCCTAGCAACGACCCTGGTGTTCCTCTCACAAAAGGCGCGAGTCTTCGGTATCGATATGTCGCCCTTCACCCATGAGCTTGACGCCATCTACAACGATTCTTTTACTTTTCACAAAGCCGACCTTTGCAAGCCCGGCGCAGCCGAGGATGCAATATCTGCTTGCATTGCAAAATACGGCCCGAGCATCGACGTGCTAGCCAATGTTGCGGGTATCATGGATGCCTTCAGCAGCGCTGATACGGTCAGGGACTCGGAATGGGAGCGCGTGCTTACCGTTAACCTCACAGTACCTGTCCGGATGATGACGGCTGTATTGCCCAGCATGAAGAATCAACAAAGCGGTTCCATCGTAAACGTTGGAAGCTATGCGAGTCTCTCGGGTGCGGTGGCTGGCATCGCATACACAGCCAGTAAACATGGGCTTATCGGTGCGACCAAAAACGTCGCATGGCGCTTTCGGAAGGATGGCATTCGATGCAACGCCGTACTTCCAGGTGGTTCGTATCATCCCTGGTTCTAGGTCCGCGAAAATCTTTTCCTGATGCACTCTCAGCCGTTCCCACCAATATCCGCTCATCGATGGTGCAAGAAAATGTCGACCAGGCAGCAATGGAAGTATACCGGTACGTTATCACGATGCCGAAAGACGCGCACTTACTGACAGGCTCGTAGCCCGGTGCAGGTATTATGCCAGGGCCTCAAGAGGGACGACCTTCCATACGGATCCGTAGGCCCTGACGATATTGCGCAAGGCATTGCATTTCTTGCCTCCGATGCTGCAAAGACGATCAGTGGTGTGGTGATGCCGATAGACAATGCTTGGTCGACTATCTAGGTTGTGATCATGGGCCTGATATTATGAAAGGTCCAGGCTGTTGGCAGGACGGGACGGGAGGCGAAGAGGGACAGTTTCAAAGAGTATGATCAGCCTTTACACATGCGTACGCACGATATGCTAAAATGTCTTCGATTATGTGTGCAGCGCTAACTACAAGCGGTGACACAGGGTCACAAGGGTAGCATACCTACATTATTCTCGTAACACATTTCACGCATTACTCACAATATGATGGCCCTCATACGTCCGGAGACGGTATCGTCCGTACCTAGGTAATCGTGCTTACGATCGGACAGCGGAACATCAGATATTTCGCTATCGAGGCCAGGGCAGCGCCACTATGTCGATACATCCTACAAAAGTCAGACCCGCCTACGTTTGTTCGCCTTCAACGGGTTCGATAGCTTCGCAGCTGCCTTTACCCAGTGTTTCGATGGTTGTATTCATGGATGTAAAAGCTTCTTGGCAGCAGCTAGACCGAAAGTTAATCTCATGAGTGCTATTGGCATAGACATTAACAATTAAGCGTGTGCAAACGCTACCTACTGAAGAGAACCAGATGGTTGCTTCTACATTATTAATACATCGGACCCGAACTCCTAACAAGGCCGGTAACTCGAACGCGACAACAAGACCATGGTGGTTTGACGTGTCAATGAGTTCGAATTCTGCTGCGATAGTCATCCCTTAAGGGAAGAAGCAGAAGGCTGAAGAGGCTGCAGACGAATTCCACGCAACCAAGAAACTAGATAGACAGTTTTGAGATTGAGGCTTGCTGACATTCAGATCGTCACATTTTATTCATTGGCGCTTTAACAATGAATTTTGCACAGGTCAATGGCCACTGTATCGATTTAATGTATTCTTGGCATTAGTCGCGTCTCGGCTTGTATCTATGCTAAAATCTTCCCTGAATCATCCATCAAATGCTTTATTCTCCACGTCTTTGGATCTTCGCTAAGACTTGCACCCGGAAGAACGAGCTCTGAGAGGACTGGCTGTGAGTACTCAAAGTTCGTTTCGTCTATTGACTCGGTGTCACTGTCCGGCTCTTGTATGGTCACATAACGTCCGACAGTATTCCGAATCTCGGCACTGAGTTGTTTTCTCATGAGAGCGAGCATGACAATAGCGATATAAGCACTCTTTGACTGCTCATACAGACCGTTAAAACATAGAATGAGTGTCGAGAGAAGTGCCTCGCTTGTATCTTTCCGTTCACTGGCTGGGTCTTGCTCGAGTTGTCGGATGGGTTCTAGAGTCAGGTTGGCGAGGTGGACCAAGAAGATTGTGAGCGTCAAGTCATAACTTTCGAAGCTATGGCGAAGGTAGTATATACGTAAGATGCTTTCTAAGTGAACGCTGGCTTCTGTGACAACCTGTTGTGCCTTGTTGAGTTGGTTTTGCGTCAATGACCGTGCACCTCCATCTTCAGAATATATCTGAGATCTGAACAGAGTTATCAAGACAGCATGATATTCGCAACTATAGACGTATTAGCTTCTATGATGCGCATGTGTGAGAAGGCCACTCACTGTAGTAGCAGGTGAGAAGGGTGCACAATCCACCGAGGTTGGAGTTGAGTAGGCAAACCGCGATACCAAGTTTCCAGTTTTGCTTGAATGTGTAAAGCTGCGCCCCATGGCATCTTCTTCAAGTCTTCAAATATACTAAAGCACATCACACCAATCTCGTTTTGGATCACCCGCAACTCGCTCAAAGCTTTCATTCCGTGACCGAAGTCAGTCATGTAATGGTTTCCATCTGCCGGATAATTTAATACTATATCCCCGTACCACTCTGACTTGCCGTGGACGTCAGGAAGCGGATCTGCTGGGATATCTAGAAGACACGGCGGCTTAAAGTAGTAGTAACTCTGTAATCTGAGAAAGGTTAGCCATGGGCTACTGCATATTGATTAGACTTACGATAGCCATGAAGACAGCCCCCATGCAGTGAAAGATTTGGCGTGCTCAAATTTGTCATGATCCACCCGGGGTGCAAAAAGTCTCATTTTTTGTGCCATACTGAGAGCTTTGAGCATATAAGAAAACCCAAGGGTGTCATGGCCGAAGTCGTTCATTGCAGCATTGATCAGACAACCAGCTTGAACAGTGGTAAGTTTGGGCGCTCCGTCCTCTAATTCCCACAGTCGTTTTGCTTCTGCTAAGAATCGATATGGCAGACTGTCTGGATTCCAGAACCTGGTGCGATTACTGAGCACTCGAGAGCTGGCCTACAGTATATTAATGATCCCCCGTCTACTTCAATGAGACATACTTACTCACACAAGCTTTAGCCAAAAGAGCATTGACAAGTAAATGAGAGCAAAACTCGGATCTTCTTGATACCAAGTCTTCCAGAAAATAAGCTTTGTGAAAAAAGAAATGCCGTGGATACTGATTGATGAAGTAGCCTTCGATGATGTTGCGCAGCAGTCGATCGTTAGAACTAACACTGGTCCAATGCGAAGGTTGTGCATCTTCGAGTAGATTGTCAACCATCCTAGCCGTAGATAAAGACCTTGCGTAATTACTCTTTTGCAGAGCTACGTGTGTTTGCGAGGTACTTCTATCGTAATCGGACGCTTCGATTGCTTCATAGACAAGCGACTGGAAGTAAGTACTGTCTTGAAGGCTTGCCGGTATCTTGTCCATGTACGGAAAGTGAAAGCGCGAGGACGTTTGTGGAACATGAGAAAGCTCCATGATCAAACTTCCATCTTGAATGTGTCTTATCACAGCTTCTGCGTTTGCACCTGCTCGAATGCGGTGAAAGATGTCGGCTGCATCTCTCTCGGGCAGGTTTTGTAACATATCAAACAGTTCTTCCTGTGCAGTACGTTTCTGTTTGAGCTGCTGATATCTACGCTTGAATTGACGCGATTCAGTCTCACCATGACGACACTCAGTATCTCGCGTCACGCACGCAGTGCACCTAGGCTTTGACCCGTCGCACTGTTGCTATGTCAGCTAAGATCAGAGAAGCTGCAGGGCATATGTACTTGCTTTTGACTTGCGAGCTCGACAAGCCTCGCAAGCGTTGAATCGAGTAGCCTTTTGCTTTTCTGCTGAGTCTTTGCGGATCCCACCAGTAGGGGCAGGTAAGAGTGAACGCAATGGTGGTGGAGTTCGTGCAGATCCTTGTTCCATTCCTTCCAGAGCAGTGACGTCAGCTGTTTTATAGAGGACGTTCCACTGTCAGACTCCGGCCGTTTGGTTCGTCTGTATGACCCTAGGCTGGCCACTCATATAAAAGCGTAGTGACAAGAAGTATGTGTCTTGGTGTGTAACTGGTATGGGAGGCGACTCGAAGAGGAATTTCGTATCGAAGTTTCGTGGCGCCACTTCGGCGCTACTGCCGCAAAGCCAATCAGCTTCAGTATCGAGATCTTCGATCGCCAGTAGCTCGCCCAATTGCGGGCATATTAGCGTGTTTGGCCATCGGCATCACTTAAAAGATCGAACATTTTGCTATCTTGTTGATGCATCAGTAATATAGTTCTGGTGAGCATTGCCGCTATATCTCCACCTCCCCTAAGTCCAGTGCATTTTGACTTCATCCGACTGATCAGAGGAACCGGCTGTGCACCTTATCTCCAAAACTGTTCGAATTCACAACCTGCACTCACAGCATCATCATTGTGTAGGTCACGGGTACAAGAGATAAGTGCTTTCATCGACCAATTGCGCGGCCAAGCATTTGTATCTCATTTCCGCGGTCTAGATCCGATACGCAGTGGGGTTCTAATGCAATATGGTAACACAGCGAGCTCTACCTACCGGATGACATCTCTGGTTCACCTCCAGTCTCACACTGGACTGTCGAGAGATGGTTTTGTGAAGCTGAAATACTCTAGAATTCTTTCCTCTGTTGGGAAGGACCCCGAAATGCGGTAAATCGAGCACTCGTTAAGGCACGCCACCCCCTCTGACCACTCTCATGATTGTCTGCCACGTTCAGCTATCATTTGAAAATTTTGAGCGACAGGAACGAAATACTGTTTAATTTTGCTAAGATGATACAAAAGATCATATTCATATACCACAAGTACATCGCGTAATATGTCTTCCACGAGTCGAGCACTTCTCTTAGATAATGTCTCTCCAGGCTTCAAGTCATGGTGGGGTAACAGCGGAAAATGTAAGTTGAGAAGCTCACTAGTGCTGTACCTTTTCCTAGTGGTATCAGACATGGAGATGCAACAATCTCGGAGGCAGGTCTGAGGGCAATCTATTGAACGAGTGACACTACCTGAAGCCAGCCATATCGTTCCACGACATATTGCAGCTGGACGTAGCAGAATGCTTCATAGATTGCTACAAGCAGTGGCTGGTCAGGGCCGCTCTACTGTGCGGCCTGCTATCTGCGTCTCGATCTTGGTGTCCTATACGACATCTAGGCAGCGCGGATGTTGATTCTGCGAAACAGTTGAACAAGCTTTTGGTAATTCATTACAATCTAGAAATAATTGCATCGTGGAGTGACGCGTCGATAGTGTAGCAAAGGCTCAAGTAGTCGATGAATATGCTGCGTGCTTGAGAAGGATGACTGACTGAAGCCTTACATTCCTTTTTTCTTCTTCCTAAAACAAAAGAATGGGAGCAGCAAGACTGACATTACAACTTTAATTGACATGAAAATTTTGCGCCTGTGTGTTTCCTAGATGAGCCTGTGGAGAAAGAACATTGAGTATGCGAGAAAGAGATGGAGAGATGGGGGTAGGCAATTCAGACGACAGTCGCAGGGATCCGCTGGGCACCTTCGGCCTCCACGCGGCACATACGCGCCGTACCTTACTGTCTTTTCGCGCAACCGCCAGCATTCGCGACCTATACATCCACAGCCCAGGCTCCTTTACCAACCAGATCAGGTTACATCATCCCGATCATTAGACTTTGAGCCACCGCCTTTCCTCTTGTCTTGTGAGTTAAATGTCACGATTCGGCCCTTCAATGTTAGGCACCCCATACAGCAAGGCCGAGTAATGAAGCCGTACTACGATTATGGCACTGCCTCACACCTTGCCGACTTACGGTCGCATTAACGCGACTTGATTCGCGCCTACGGTCCGACACCGTGCTTCTTGGATGCGGCATATCGTGGTTATCGACAAATTGGAATGATGGATGGCCTAACGTCTTCATAACAAAGAAATCCTCGCCGATGAGTTCGACATCCCCTCAAAACGTCGCGCATTGTCCAATTCGCGTATCAGACTCTATATCGTGATCGTTCGAGTCTCAACATTGGCTTGTCCCAACATGCGCGGAGATTTGCTGTCGTCAGCATGTCTGCTCCTCGCAACTACACTACCAGCACACGCCGCTTTCTCTGAATTCTTCTTCGCGGGTAACAATGGAACAAGCGCTCTAAAGACCTGTCCCGAATCCTTGCTCGAATGTGCTCCTCCATCAGTCTGTTCATTTGACGACCGAACTCAGAAGTATTATTGTTGCGAACCTGGAAAAACAGACGCCGTTTGCTGGGGGCCTAATTCAGGCTGCGATGGAGGAGACAGTACTACTCCTTCAGGTGGCCAACAAGCCTGTTCATCGGAACCCAACACCTTTTGTTGTTTAAAATCAAGGTTAGCAAGCGTCCAAATGGCACGATAATCATCATTGAGTATATAACTGACAACGTCTAGTGAGACCTGCACGGAAACAGCAGACCAAATTAACATCTGCTGGAGCCAACTGGACAATCCGATCGCCTCTCTAAATGCGACCGCCGTAAATGCAACAGCGCAATCACTTGAATCAATTCGACCATCTGCAGCTACATACGCAGTCGACCTGTCTGCTCTACAAACGCTCACATCAACCGCCGCTGCTTCGTCATCACATAACCCAAGCGCGTCAGGACAACAGCCCGCCGCTACCACAACGTCATCTATATTGTCTCAAACAACGGCCTCGCACTCTGAGGCAACTTCCAATAATAGCAGCACAGACGGAGGTCTATCAAGTGACGCGATAGGCGGCGTGGTTGGTGGGTTGGTGGGTGGACTGGCTCTACTCGGTCTGGCTGGGTTTTTCTTTTGGCGCAGATTGAAGAATGGCAAACGCAATCCCTACAAGCCGGCGAATTTACACAATTCAGCCACACACTCAGTTGGTTATCCAAGTGAGATGGACTCAAACCATATCTACACGTCATCACCAGCGACTGAAAAATACGGATATGCAGTCACTCCTGTGTCAGAAGTGGCCGCAGATCGAGCACCAGCAGAGCTCCCAGAAACTTCGCCGCACAGCAGATAGACGGAGCGACTTAATAATAAGTTGGAGGCCGCATCGTAGAAAGCAGCGCATGTTGCACCGCAATCACGCCTTTGATATTCGACTCTATGAGACTGCACGTCAAATTTCACCATCAGTCGTTCTTTGTACACCTCAGTAATCGCGCACACAAGATCACTCTGTCCTCAAATATGTTTCAACGAAGGTCACAAACAACCGCTTTGAAATTATCCGTCTTCAGATGTGAAACCTGTTAGTAAGCTCTTGTGGGCACAGAAGTGATATGACCGATCGCGACAGCAGGCCATTACATAACTACAAAATCGCAAAGTTTCCTCTCTTGTGCCCTATCATATATTCCATAGATCTCTCCAAACTCTCTCAGACCTCGTCCCCTTCTCAAAACTCGGCCAATCTCTTCCTCTCGCCACAATCCCCATTCCACCCTCCACCCACCTCACATACCTTCCATATAGTCCTGCTACGCTTCTCGTTCGAAGACGTAGCTCTCTCTGTCACTCTGGTCACCCCCAACCAAAGTCTTTCGCCCGAGCAGTCGAGTATTTACGATGTTCAATGGTAATCGGACCATCAAAAGCGTTTCCAGATATGACATGAAGCTCTGACGTAGTGACGCTCATTCCACCTGTCTTGCCAGCAATTCTTCGTACAAAACTTAGCCCACTTTAGAACGGCCAGCTAAGGCGAAATGAAACCATAAACGTAACTTTAGGTACTACGACACCTTTTTTGGTAGGAAGCGTACCGTGTACGATGAGCAGGACCGGTACACCACTCTTCACGATCTTGTTGGCTTCCCCATCGGCCCTCAAGATCTTCATTGCTGGCTGCTGTATCTGCACCTTTACGGGCACTTCATGAACACAGTTTACCATATGAACATAGTGAATGTCGAACAGATCACCTCTTGCTTTCCTATCTGTAGAGGACGTAAGAGACCCTGGAAGAGCATCGAGTTGCATTGGGTTGTCGTAGACGTGGTCCTGGCTACTGAGCACCTCTCCCATGATATCTGTGGCTAAGAGATCTTTGGTTCTTAAGATAATTGGGTCGATGCGCTCTTGGAGGCAGACGATGCTGTTGCGAGATTCTGGCGTGAGTTTCGTGAGGCTCAGAGAGATGTCGAGATCTTGCGTTGATGACTATCTGATACATACTGATCTGCCTGCTTTTAGGCTTGGTTCGACGAAGGAGAAATGTGTGTTGATCTGTGCGAGGAGATTGATGTCGGGATCCGCGGTGAAAGCAGTTGGATCGCCATATGCTTTCACATCGCTAGGGAGATTGAATGCCTTCTTTCCTGTTTTTGTGACTTGCATGTAAGAGTCACGGAGAACACTGAGTACATCACGTTTCTTGCCAAAGGAGGAGAGACGATATGTCAGATGAGCATCCGAGGCCATTACGTTTTTCCTGAGGTTGAGAGATCAATGATGGCTCCCTAGATAGGCGGCATTTTAGGTGATGCTAAATGGAAATTTCTCGCAATATCAAGAGCTGAGCAAACCGGGAGTTGGACACTCGTCATAAAGCCTACATCTTACAAGCGACAGAATGTTGGTACTCCATCAAAAGTACACCAAAAGTTTGAGATGACGCTGGTAAAGCAAGCGACGATGAAGCGAGGGCCAATACGGTAAGCATCGTCAGCAGATGCCATTGGCTGTAAAAGTATTACAACAGCATACCTACTCTGCAGATTGGACATGATATCCTAACAAAGGTAGAATATGAAGAGGAGATACATCAATCTCATACTGACCTCTTCCTGATCATCCTTAATGGTCCCGATGACTCTTCCATGAACGTTTCTCCAGTGCACGTCCACTGTATACCCATGGCGGAGCGGAACCAAGGAATCACAGCGCACGCTAAACCCGTTCCAGCTTATACACACAAACTCGACCCGATAGATTCTCCTTACATCGCGTACGAAGAGTGAGTCTCCTAAGCGTTTGAGATCACAATCCTGATACACGACGAGCATGAAGATGCTTTCCGAGGGCCGCGAGCGTTAAGGGGATGGAAGTGACAGGGACAGCGGAACGGTCGGCACGGGCCCGGGTAAGACGGCAACGACAGCCTTGGCGATTTCTCCGCGGCGCACTTGGCATGTTTTGGATTGGGCAATGAACGACAGGGGGAATGGATGTCAGATTCCGGGGAATTGAGTCTCAAGTTGATCGGCGTTCACTAGGGTCCCTGCTCGATATGATTAGAGAGAAGGGGAGCAGAGTGGCCTGTAGACCACACTCACAAATGATGCGGAGGTAGATCTGACTGCGGTAGTGAAGACAGATACGTGAAGCTCAACGTTGGTCTATATTGCACATTTAAACGAGAGACTAAAGCAAGACATACGATAGAGAGCGAGCGATATGCATGATACATATCCAAAGATGAGTGAACCCTTCAATACCCTTGTCCGATGTGTGCTCCTCCATATTGTGTACAGCTTCCGTTTTACTTTAACGCGTACCGATCTCTCCGTGGTCCTCTCGGAAAGCCGTCCACCACGTGTGTTGCTGAGCAATACTCTGGCGGGTAACCTGTCAAAACCCTCAATCTTGTACCTTTCTACTGGCGCAGGTTGGCCTTCTCATGAGCATAGTCCTCTGCAAACCGAATTGCCTGTAGCTTCTGGGCGTAATTGACAGCCTCGCTCTGAGAGTTCGATCTGAACGTAGCATCACTATCTCTAGCCTGGTTGTTCCACCTGTACAGTTCCGGGCCAGGACCCATAGACACTGGACGAGAGAAGCGGTTGTGCTGGTAGACTGAGTTGCGCTTGGCGTCCACTCTTGTGTTGTTGGGGAGTGGTTCGTGGACAGATAGTACGCGGATCTCTGCAGGTTCAGCTTCCTCGATCGGTGGAATCTTCTTGTAGCGATAGAAAGCATCGAGAGCAGGGATGGACAAGCCATGGACGACGATCGAGAAGATGACGAGAAAGTAGACGACCGGAATCATCGCGGCGACCAAGTTCTCTTCCTCTTCGGTCGAAGCTTCGCCAGGCTTAGGGAAAAGATGGCGGGTGTGCTCGACGTAGAAGACAGCTCCGATACCTGAGATACGTTAGCTTTCCGCGTGCTATGGAGATGCAAGCATTTACTTACCAATGGGTCCGAAGTATCCCATGAATAACGCTTCCTTCCAATCTTTGACACATGCGGGCATAACCTTGTACACCATGAAAATTGCAGGGATTCTGCGAAATGCAAGTATAAGGAACCCGAGGATCATGAGTCTTCCAACACTGATGCCGGTGACCTCTGGCAGCTGGAATTCAGCCCAAGGGATGATGGTTCCAATATACATGAAACCGCCAAAGTTGAGGATGACATCGAAGCAGCTGTTGACTTCGTCGTGGCGCTTCTCTGTTTCTTCCAGATAGATGCCGTTCCAGTTCATTGCATTACCAGCAACGAAGCAAGCGAGGAGATCGTCTGTACCAAGCGCACCGCAGATACCGATGAGAAACAGACCCACTGCCATGGGCCAGAGCAGGAGACTCTCGGAGTCGATCCACTTCTTGCGGAGAGAGAACTTGATGGCAAACATGCTGCCAACACCCACCAGCGCCCCGATCGCAACCGACATGAGGATGATGTACAACCAACCTTCGACGATCCATTGCTCCATTGCCATTGGAACACCGCCACCGAGACGGCCAACTCCTTCCTCGCTACGCTTGGAGAGCAAGCCAACCGCGCGGTGGGCGATCTCTTTCACGCCTTCCACGCCTGGCTTCAACTCCAGACCTTCGAGGTCAGCATGGCGTATGAGGTATGTGGCCAGAAGTAGGAATGGAAACCCGAATCCATCGTTGGCTCCAGCTTCCGATGAAATGATCTCGCGTAGTGCACGAGGGACAAATTTGTCGGCAAAAGGACCTTTGGCTACAGCTTGTGACAAGATAGGATCTGTGCAGGTGACGCATGATCCAATTACCAGCGCAGCCAAGAACGAAAGCTTCGGGATGGTAACTAGGATGCACAAGCTTGTGCAGATCCACATGATTGTCATGACGGGCAGTAGGAGGATGGTCATCTCTTTCCAGCGACCTTGCTGGTACTTGGCAGGAAGTTGGAATCCGGCAATGACGAGCTGCACGCCAATCACGATGCGGCACATGCCCTTCAGTATGCTCAGCAAGGTTCAATCTCAAGCTTTGCATCATTTGTGCTTACCAGCGTGATGGCCTCCCGCTGACCTTCTGCAGCAGAACCCCATTTCTCGGCGTCCAGGAATCTAGCAGCTATCGGCCCTAGGATGATACCGACCAGAACCGCAGGCACTGCAAAGAATCAGTAAGGGTTTCTCGAGCTGCCAAAGACTGGTTACTTACACGCTTCGCCCAAGTACCAGACTTGCTTGATCTTGACTGAAAGAAAGCCATAGCAGATGATGAAGGCACCCAGAATGGCAACGACAATGTTGAGCTCGCTAACATCGAGAGTAGGCATCGTGGAAATTCCGGATACCCGGAGTACGGAAAAGACGGAAGGAGATGTTTAACAAGGATGCATGCGCCGAAGGAACAGCCAACAAGGTTAAGAAAAGGGAGGAATAATGAAGAACGAAGACGACCAGCGAGAGAAAGAAACTGTAAAAGGCAGACCAGCTGTATTTACAAGTCGATTAAACCGATATAAGCAAGTACAAAAGTTATGGAGAACGAGGGATTTCCGGGACTGGCTCGGAGAGAATAGTGAGCGCAGTGATGGTCGCGAATGCCAGCCTCGATTTCCAAGTTCTTGGGTGCCACGCCTTATTACTTCATATCTTTACACGCGTCACGGACACAATGCACTTAGTTGACTTGAAACAGCAGCCGCCAGGACATTCTTGGCTTAGCAGCCACTCCCGCCATTAGGAGGCTTACAACCGAAGCCAAGCGGTGAATTGACTATCGCGGATGGAGCCAAGGTCAGCTGTAGCGCTAGCTTCGAACACGGCTTGTGGGACTTTCCGCCTTAAGGCTCAATTCAACCCTGTATGTTACACCTGTGGATGTAGAGGAAACAATCTAGGTTGAGACATGAAGACAGTGTTGTGACAGGCTGACCTTGCCTGCCGTGATAAGCGTAAATGAGGAACACTGAATAGCACAGGTTCTTTTGTCCGGTTGTGTGGACTGCGGCTCGGCAAGCGTCTCAACAAGACAACGTTAACATGGCTTATCGACTCTGGGAGAAATTGGTGGCCCTGGAAGGTTTCTCTGCCAAGTCCGCCAAGTCCGCCGCGCTAAATCCAGAAAAACCCCGCTTGGCGATGAAGCGACATCCCGTAGTAATGATGTGCAATGCCTCAAGCCAGGTGAAGAGCCTCCCTGTAGATCTCTGTCCTGAAGCTGTGGCATTTTGATCGACACAAGGCTTGGAGACGCGTCCGCTCGGGCGTAAGCGGTATTCGTCACCTATCGCGGCTGTGAGAGATTGTGAGCGTCGCCTGGTGTTGTCGTTTTCTTGAGGACGCGCGATAAGCCCAGCCAGAAGAAGCACTCAAACCTGTTGGCAGAAGCCGGCAGTACCTGTGTCTATTGGTCACCATAGTACACATCGTGCGGGTCGTGATCGGTCGACGCAGATAGTGGCCCAATGTACACGAACGTACAGCCAAGTGCTCGAACATCAGCAAGTGATCTGTGATACCAGCACTGTCTGGTGTAGTTGGACAGTGGCAGATTGTGGTTCGTACTGCGAAGCATCTATTGCCGTATTGCCGAGTTGTCCAAACAGCGTAGCGATAGCACCCAGCCACTTTCGAGACGGCTGTCTGAAGCCGTTGGTGGATAAGATTCCGCTAACTTATTATCCTGACAAAACCCCTTAAACATAGTCCCCACGCGGGGAAGTAACGCGGTTCAACATCTGGATGGAGCACTGTTTTGCTGTGCTGTCAGTGTAAGACGCTTTTCCAATTGCGTCAATCCCATCAAAGTCGATATGATACTTGCGAGAAGATTGTATACACTCTTTAGCACTCGATTGGGTTTGTTCTTAGATATGTTTCGCGTAGTGTGTCCCGCAGCTACTCGATCATGCTGCCGCACAAGCCGTGTGTCTGGTGTGACGAATAGGACCTTCGGAAACTATGTAATTTTTCATATCTCCCTACGAGCAAGTATTGACCTCGTCGTCAGGAGCGCGTGGTTGCCGATGCTGTCGAAATAAGGTGCATGTGAGATCAGGTCAAATGGTGGCCGGAGTGGTAGCCGTAATCTCAGAAGCTATGACGACATACCGGTATCGCTTAAGTGGGCCCACGTTCAGCTCTACCTCATCGTCCCTTCAACTGTTCAAAGGCTTCCAGCCGCCCATGTCAGCGTTCTGCTCTCTTTGCCGTCTCAGCTGACTCTCACTTCGCCAGTTGACTTACCATTATCGGTATTACAGTTGTGCTGCAGAGTATGTTGTTCTTGTGTGCTGATGAGCACTATTCCATAATAGGAGATAAAGAGGTGCATATGAACCTCACTTCAGGCGTCCCAGGCAACGAGCGGGGCTGAGCAAGGCATACGGCCGAATATTTTCAACACGATGCCAAATAAACAGATGTACTTATACTGTCCGCACCAGCACCCATTCTGGGTAACGAAAACTCACACACATCATGTCTACTGCTACTACTGCGTTTATTCCACCCCAACACGTTGTGTCTACGAGCTCTGAAGCCTCCGCCAACATGCCCGTAGTACAGGAAACAGCATCAGAAGAATCTGACAAGCCTACCATGCCTCTTTCATCTCATGGCCTCACCCTTCAAGTGGACTTTGCCTGGTCAAAGTTTCGCAACATAGTAGCTTCTAGGGGCGCTGGTGGAGAGCTCACGCCACTCTACATACAACATTTCCGTCCTGCAAAGCCTCAATTGCGCTTTGAGCGTGCAACAGATCACACGAACATCGCCAAAGGCACCATTCACAGTTTCTCGATCAGCGGAGACTGTATAATTCACGGCCGGGAAATAATCCTGAAACCTTTGAAGCGATGGAAAACCGAATACAACTACCTCTCGCACGCGCTCGGTGGCACACCAGTATCTTGGATAGCCAACAGTACCCTGAAGGTCTGGGACTACGTATGCATCAACTCAGCTACTCAGGAGCCTATCGCAAAGCTCAGTGTGAATTGGTGGGCATTGAAACAAGTCGGAAACTTCTACTTTGACAAGACAGAAGAGGAGGTTTCAGAGAGCTTAAGAGACGAAGTTGTCATAACAGGGCTAACTTTGCTGTATGTCATGACGACGAGAATGAACAACCCAATACATCTGCTAGGTGCAGCATTCGCGAAGCCAGGTAAGGTTGAGGGCAATGAGGCTCAAGCAACAGTTCCGCAGGATGCTCGGGAGACGAATGGTAAACTGAAGAGCACATGAAGGGAGTTAAATGGTGGCGCATCGCACGTCGTTGCTACAGCCAGGACGAGTGTGGTATGAGTTCAAGTTATGTATACCCAATGGAGTTTGTTTTAGCGTTCTATCATTCGCCAGACAGCGCCAAGTGACTCTTGATCATTCACATTGGATTGCAACAAAGAGAAGATGGCTTTCATTGATATAGCAGGACACATTCACTCAAGGTTGATGATGCTTTTGTCTGTGTAGCAAGGGTGAATGGGTACTGAGGGAACCAGCCACGCTATCATTCATCAGCTATCATTCCACTTATCTTCTTTATAAGAACACGAAAAGCATCGTCGTAGATAGAAATGCCCCAATAGTATTCTGCCAGATCAATTCTAGGCAGAAATAAACATAGCATGAGTAGAGGAGGTGATGTCATACCCCGTGTTCACGCGTCAAGCGGCAACGCGTTGTACACGATCTCTAGCAAAATCAACCGCAAATTCTGACCACCATCGTTCCCATCGCATCGACATTCAGATGGTTCATCGACAGGAGGTGGAGAAGAGATGGGAAACTTTCGCGATCCACATCGGTAGCCGCGATTGATTCATCATGACATCAACAGCAACACTAGTGTGGGTACCTGCATGCGATGATGGCATATGGTCTATGCTACCACCAGCTACAAAACGACCTCTCAGCACATACCCCGCCTGAAGTTCTACCTACACACCTTTCAGCTGAAATACTTCACAGTTTACACACTTTGTAACTCAAAAACTTCGGACCTCTTGCTACTTTCCAAACCAATCCACACAGACTACATATCAAGATGCCTCGCATGGTCGCACCCCCGCCGCCTGGAGAGTTCCAGATCGTTCTTAGCAAGCCTTTCAATGGTGAGTTCTTCGGTTTAACATATGTAGTCTCTCACTTACGAGACGTACAGGCGCACCAACACACATGATCGAGGTTATCGGCGAGCCCAACCGCCCAGCTAGCATTCGCATGTCCAACTACAACGGTAACTCCAAGTCATCAGAAAAGAAGGGCGATGTACCACAGTACGTTTCACACAGTCGCCTCTAGTTCATTCTGTCGTTACTAATACCCTTGGCAGAGACGATGTTAAGGAGCTCATGTCTCTCATCTCCACACTACGCGGCTTCCCTTCGCACCCAAGCAAGGACGTCTACGGCCTAGACACCAAGGTTGACTTCAACACAATGGAGATCCAATGGGGCAACCAGGACGACGATGCTGCCATGGATGGTGGTGACCTTGCCGGAGAGCAGAAGGATGAATTCAAGAGGATCGCGGACAGCATTGAGGCGTTGGCGAGGCAATTCGCTAAGCAGGACTCTCCTGTATAGAATGGACAGGGAGTGTTGAGTGATACCTTTATAAAGAGATGATGTCATGACCAACAAATGAATGAAAACAAATCTACTTCCATTGCGCTGGTCGTCTTTGTAAACATTGTGAGCTTGGGTATTTCCGCCTACATGTGCTTGTCGTCGTAGCAAAACATCGTTGAATTACGCTCGCACGTTTGTCTCCATAACCAAAATAACGCCATGTCTACTGCGTAACAGCTAAATCGATGATCATCGCTTCATATCCACATTGGATCATGTATCCATACCTATGTCTAGCTCTCTAGATCTTGTATACGATACCTCCAGAGTACATGATCTTGTTCCTCTCGCTGAGCGCTTCAAGTGCCTTCTCTGCCTCAGCTTCCTCAAATGCTTCGCGCCCGTTACCACCACCAAGTCTAGCATTTACAGCAGCAACCAGAGGTTCCACATCTGCAGCATCGTTCGCAAATAGTGGCCCATCGATAAGTTGACCAAGCGCTGTTTGGAACACTTGCAGACGTGCCGGCGTGATGTCCTGGGATTCTTGCGATTCGGTTTGTGTGGCTGGTAGCTGGGACTCGGGGTGTGAAGATGCGGCGCTGACTTGTGATGATACGCCAGCGCGGGACGACTGTGTACGATTGGTTGTGCGCTGAGTCTTCGGCGTAACGTTGTAAAGGTCTTCGTTCTCGTCGTCTTCTCCACCGTCTTCTTCGGCTGCGGGGGTGCGTGTAGTGCCCGTACGCGTGTTACGGGTAGATGGCCCACCGGTGCGGCGAGATTGTGTGGCCTCTTGCTCGTCACCGTCTTCGTCATCATCACCGGATGACTCTCCGTCTGTGGACATGGCATCTGGATCACGGACTGTTCGTCTTCGCTTGCGGCGGTCGTCCTCGACAACTTCCTTGAACAGCGCGAAACGGAGAATTTGTTCAGCGACCTCTGCATCCTTCTGCTCTACTCGCTTCGACAGACGAGCTTTTGCGTGTGCAGTGGAAAGACGAATGAGTGTTTCGAGAGTACGCGCTGTGATAGGTGAAGTGCGGCGGGTACCAGCATCTAGCTCGTCGTTCCGCAGTGCAGAGTAGGTTGCTACGATGTGATCGGCTGCACCCTTGGTAAGGATTGGTTTCTCGCGTTTAGCATATTGGATGTACTTTTTGATAAAAGGTATGCTGAGGACCTCGGTCCTTCGGTTCGCCCCACGTCCAACTGTGATTGTGACACCGGAATGCAGCATGGGATTGAACTTCTCGTAAACTTCCGTTGGACGATTGGCATCAGCATCAGTGTCGAGACCGACACCCAAGAGCTGAGCTCCCTCCTCTCGGACTGGTGCACCCTCCTCGGTGCCAGGCTGACGGTATCGATGCATGCGGAGGACGTGCTCAGAAACCTGCCTGTCGCGTGCGTCTTCGATGTCGTCGGTAACGACGAAAAGCAGATCGAAACGCGATAGAAGAGAATCTGGAAGAGCAATGTTGCGATGAGGGTCTTTGTGAATGTCGTATTGACCGAAAATGGGGTTGGCAGCTGCGACGACGCTGCATCGAGCATTGAGTGAGGTATGGATACCGGCTTTGGCAATGGTCACGGTCTGTTGCTCCATGACTTCGTGAATAGCTACACGGTCAACATCAGACATCTTGTCAAACTCATCAATACAGACAACACCACGGTCAGCAAGAACCATGGCACCAGCCTCAAGACGACGCTCGCCTGTCTCCTTGTCTGATGTGACGGCAGCTGTGAGACCAACGCCGGACGAGCCACGACCAGTGGTGGCGATGGCGAGCGGTGCGGTATTCAGCACGAATCGCAGAAGTTGCGATTTAGCAGTCGAGGGGTCACCAACCATGAGAATGTTGATGTCTCCTCTCAGATGGGTGCCGTTCTCAAGGTTCTTTTCTTGTCCTCCCAGAAGAAGCAAAAGAATTGCCTTTTTGATGTAGTCGTGTCCGTAAATGGAGGGGGCGAGTGACTGCGATAACAGCTCGAATACGCGCCTGTTTTTCGAAATCTTGTTGATGTTGCGGATATCGGTGTCGGTAATGGAAACCTGGGCGATGCCGCCACCGGACTTGGAAGAGAGAAGGATAACATTGTTTGCCAGGATCAGTGTGCGGAAGGTCGAGCTGCCAGCACCAGCGTTGCGGTTACCGAGTGAGCGATAGATGCCGACAAGCTGTATGCGGTCGCCAGGCTTGACGCGATCGACGAGGTCGTCGTCCAAGATGACATCAACCGAACGCGGTAGCTGTCCAGCAGGCGCACGCTCGGGCATCTCCTGGATGGAGATGGTCTGATGGTCGCGGTAGATGCAGTAGCCGTACTCGGTGACAAGTGGATTTCCCTCACCATCGTCTGTCGGATAGACGCTTGTGCTCGCCGCACCGGTAGTCATGGTCTGATCTCTGTACTCGCGCGAGTGGAACTTCTGCTTGTTCTCGTTGTAGTGGACGCTCTTGACCACCTTGGGCCGCACGAGGGAGGTTTTTGTGACGATGCCCTCGAGCGACACCATGTGGTTCAGCTGGTTTGAGCCCAATGTACGTGGGTTACATGAGTACTCGCCGAAGCTGCCAATGTATGCGCAATAGTAGACCACGTCGTCGCTTGTCTCGGACTTTGGGCGGTCGGTGAAGGTGCGTACGACATCTTTGAGGGCGCGGTCGAAGGCTTCTGTGAATTCGAAGGGCGAGTTGAGCAGACCATCGGCCAGTTCGCGGTTATGTGAGCGGATCTCGTCTATGCTGACCTGGACACGGTGAGTATGCGCATCGTGTTCTGGCGTGCTGCACCTACTGTGAGTCTTCGGAGGCCCCGATTGAGCATCACCAGAATGTCGGGTCGGTAGCTGGAGCCGTCAGTCGGCGCCTGCCCAAGCGAACATGTGCTCCATACCTTCGCCTCGAGACATCGTCTGGGTCGAGAAACTCTTGCGCAAGTCGCACGCGCCTGCGCACCTCCTCGTCCCTGATTACCTCGGCCATGGTGTATTATGTGACTCTTGGACTAGTAAAATGCCAATCGCTGCAAAAGGCTGAACCAACACAGCGTAAGCAGGGGGAATCGCAACGGCTATCTGAACGGGTGTATTGTTTGTGCTGTTGCCGTGGTAAACGCTTCGAGGGGCACCAGTTTCGCGACATCAATTCGCGTCGGCGCTAGTCTCTTTCCGTCACGCGTTCCTTGCCCATTAACCATCCTCTTCCGGCCTGACAGCAGTCGACCATCACCAATCGGCAAAGCTCAAGTACTTTTTGCTCCTCTTGTTCTCTTTGTACTCGGCTTTAGGTACTCGCCTTCATCTACTACCTATCTGTCCGAAATGAGCGCGTTTCGCTATCTACTACAAACAGCCTCGCGAACCCCTCGCAATACGAGGAAACACGCCAACTGGCCACAGCTTCACACCCTCATCTCCATAGACTCTCATCAACACTCGTCAAGGTCCATGTGTAATGTTAATCACCCTGCACTGCTATCTCGAAGCATCGCACCTATAGCATGTGGAGCGGTTGCCCAACGATCTTAGCCGGACATGTCCATCTCAATGTCGGTCGACGTCACCTAAACATGCTGCCGACCAAGCTACCATCGCCGGTCTGCAGACGTTACCAACACGGTATATCGCAGGTCTAGATTGACTCGCCAGTCCGTAGTCGCTGCCGGACCAACTCCGCTAACACCGTGAGCTCCCTTAACGGATCCTGACGTAATGACAATGGCCGCACTTGACGTCGTTAATCCCCGTAGTATATGAGGAGCGGCTTGAGCGGTTGCGAGAAGCACAACGCAGCATTTGCACCTCATTCTCGATCATATTCTCAACACTTTATCCCAGTTGCACCACCATGGCTCCCCGTGTCTTCCTCATAACTGGATGCTCTACTGGCTTTGGCGAGGAGTTCGTCAAGGTCGTTTTGCAAAAGGGTGACTATGTTGTCGCAACTGCACGCAACTCTTCCAAACTATCCTTCGATGGTGCCAACGACTCCAACAGTCTGCTCGTGGACCTCGATGTAACAAAGAGAGAATCTATCGATAATGCCTTCGACGCAGCTATTAAGAAATTCGGAAAAATCGACGTCGTTTGCAACAATGCCGGATATGGTCTCAATGGGCCTTTTGAAACGTTATCGGAAAAGCAAATCAGACAGCAGATGGAGATCAACTTTTTCGGTCTCATCGATGTCACAAGGAAGGCCATGGAGACTATGCGCGACAGGAAGACCGGAGGTGTCATCCAGCAAGTAACATCTATTGGTGGTCAGATTGGTAAGCCTGATGCCTTCGATATCTGGAATCGCAGCTGATGCGTACTAGGCGTGCCTAATTTCTCCATCTACTGTGCCAGCAAATGGGCAGTCGAAGGATTCACGGAGGCAATCTCCAAAGAAGTGAAGCCTGAGTGGGGAATAAAATTCACTTGCATCGAACCCGGTGGTTTCCGAACCGACTGGTCAGGTCGTAGTATGGACTTTGGAGAGATTTCAAACCCGGCATACGCGGACGTCGACCCAAAGAAGCAGGCTCAAGGGCGCCATGGCTCCCAAGCAGGAGGTTCGTTGTCGTGAATCCTCTATAAATCGAACGAAAACTGACAAGCTTTTTTTTTAAAGATCCCGCCAAGGCTGCCAAGGTCTTCTACGATCTAGCAGTCATGGACGATCCGCCTATGCGGTGCGTAGTCGGCACCGACGCGTACAGTCTCATCAACAAGAAGCTGGATACGTACAATGAAAGCGTCAAGAAGTTCGACAAATGGAGTAACAGCACCGACGTCGAAGGTTACAAGACGCCCAATTAGTTTTTGGCAAGCAACAGGCAAGATGGGAGAGAAACTCCGAAAGAAGCAGGTAGACAAACGTGTGGTTCTCGTGCGGAGCCTTTGCACGACCTTCGCCGTATAATGAGATTTGTCACAGTCAACTTCACCGCGTTCGCAAATCTCTGCGGTGGCCTTCAACTTCATCACCGATATCATTGTTTCCGACGCACTGATACATGCAGCACTTTGCTTTTGAGGAGCATGGCTTTGTGTTTCGACTATTGAATGCAGAGTGAAAGACAGTAGCTTCAAGATGGCGTACCGTCACACAGCCCCAATGTTGTGGCGGTTGCCACGTTGCGCCCGATCAGAGGGTTTGACTCAAGTCCGATACTTGTCGATGCGACTACACAGCATACTAATGAAGATCAGCGGTGTCATAGTCGAAAACTTGGAACCTCCATGTGGCACTACTAGCATCGCGGAGTAAATGAAATATTTGGCGTACGTTTGGCTGTAATAGCGGGCACCGGATCTGGTCGCGTAACGTTCCACTCGAGCTTCGATACCACAGAGCGCAACAACTCGAAAATAGTTCGAAGATCATGCACCTGATGCAGAATACTCAGACGAAAAGCAATCGCTGACATCACTGGTACTACTCGAAAGGTACATCCACCAACAGTATTGCAAAACCGCTATGTCATCGGCACTTCACGCATCCGAATATGTTCACGATCCTATGAATATCGCGTACCTACAGGTAATAAATCTGCGGCGTTTAAACAGGCGCAAGCTCGACGATGTCATACGACTCTCTTCGTGAGCTCTTGCTCGGACGGGGCTTTGTTGCCTGCCTAGCCTCTACTTGCTATTGCTCTTCTCACCGCCGCACATACGAGGCCGAAATCCAGGGCTTGCACGGAGCGTCTGACCCTCTCCTAGCTCTAGAAGTACGTCGCATGACGAAGTCCTGAGCGCTGCCCTGAATGAAAGGCGGAGGTGGGGGTTCGCACAAGAGCGTTCGTGGCCAATCCCTGCGTACATTATACAAATCTTACCACTTCTTTAGTCACGAGAAGTGCGGTTCTTACAACACACCTACCGTTTTTATGCGTTCTGAGCGCCGTGCCATAGGCTTTGGCGTCAGCTGTTTATTGCGGTTGCAAACGAACGCTGTTGTCGACTTCTAGTGACAATTCATAACCCCTGACGCCTTTCACGCTCCATCTGTATGAAATCTGCGATCGACCATATGCCTTTAATACACATTCATCTTCCTTTGTTTTTCTCGCTGATTATCAATATTTGACCATGAGGAGCGTTGGAACCACCATCCGGGACTCGGGCCCAGTGAGGTTCACCACCGCATTACTTACTGCGATACTCATCACCAGCGCTACCTTTCTACCACTCCTCGCTCGCGAAGCTGCTGCAAACCCAATTCCAGCGCCGCGACCACACCCTAACGCCGGACCGGGACCACAGGCAAATCCAGATCCACAAGCTGGCAGTCCGACAGTTGATGGTTTGTACCCAGATCCAGAACTATGTCGTGGCAACTGCACATGGATCCACGATCCTAGCATCTTGTACGAAGACGGTAAATACTGGCGTTTCTCGACCAGTGGAAACATCGCTATTGCGACTGCGCCTTACTAGAAGGCCCTTGGCGCTATGAAGGCGCTTTATTGCATAACGGTACGAGTATAATGGTCCATCCAGAACAGGATATCTGGGTACGTTCGCTCCTCCACGATGCCTTGCATTGACGTGTTGAGCGCCTTTCTGATAGACGCGAACAGGCACCTTCAGTGACGAAGCGAGGAGACACTTACTACTGTCACTACTCTGTATCCCGTATCGGTCTCCAGAACTCGTCTATCGGTGTGGCGACATCGCTTTCCCTTAAGCCAGGTAGCTGGCAAGACCACGGTGATATCGGTCTCCCCCTATCTCACAAGTACAACTTGATCGACCCCTTCGTGTACCAAGAGACATCCAATGACCCAATTTACTTCACCTTTGGATCTTTCTGGGACGACATCTTCCAAGTTGAGCTATTCCCCCACGATGACCTTATAGCTTTTGGTAGGTGGGCCGCGGACAACAATCGTATCAATAACTTGGTGCGCAATGGTACCATCGGTGCCGGAGTCTCTGAAGGTGCTATCATGCACAAAGAGAAGAACTTCTACTACATGTTCTACAGTGTTGGTCAGTGCTGCAACAAGCCGTCAGACAAGGACGGCCTTGCACCGGAAGGTCAAGTGTACCACGTTGTCGTCTGCCGCTCGGAAGCCCCAACCAGACCCTTCTACGACCGAGAGGGCAAGAGTTGTCTCGAAGAGAATGGCGGTACTACGATCCTCGCCAGTCATGGCGATATCTATGCGCCTGGTGGTCAAGGTGTTATGGCGCACCCTGACAATGGGAGGACGGTGATGTATTATCATTATGGTATGCGGAAGAGTGAACGTGATACACGAAACCTGAGCTGACATTGACACAGTCCGCCAGAGTGTTGGTTACGAGGCCGATCAGTTCTTCTTTGGTTACAACTACCTCGACTGGGAGGACGGATGGCCGGTCGTTGTGGTTGCCTGATTGACTGGTGTTCTGCAAGGACTTTCGGCAGTATCTTGACCCACCTTTGGTTTGTCCCAGGTACGCCATACAGCGCCGAAGTTTATCCAATTGCTTCGTGTTACAAGCCTGTGTTCTTGTATTTGGGTCTTGCTTTCGCGCGCTTGGAGAGGCGCGTTATAGTGATGGTTCATGGGGTGGCGTTCCCATGATCCACGCTCTACGTACTTACGATTAAGACTGTTTCGGAAGCAATGTTGAACAAGCGTTGTTATAGGGTCTGATTTACTGGAGGGTATCAGCGAGCCACCTGTCCACGAGTACGACTAAAGTCGTAAGTCTGCGTTGTCAATATTTAAACACTTTGGTAATACTTGGGTCATAGCTCGTGGGTAACGTCTAATGTGTTCTTATTCTGGCTATGAAACGATCGTCGTATTGGTAGTCCACATAACCAATCCTACGTTATTATCAAATATGACTGTTGTTCATTTGCGTAATCATATTGACCACGATACCATGATGCTTGATAAAAGGAAACTGCGCTCATAGTCGCTCCACACCTAGCACACGGCCACGTCGATCGGGCCACGCAAGCAACTTCTAATGACATTCTGTCAAAGCTTGTAGTCTCACAGACTTTTCTCTCAGATGATGCGCCGCATTTTAGGCCTTCTCGCCAATAATGCAGCGTGCATGCGCTTAGTCTCGGAAGTGGTGGCTGGTGGAAGGAATCAACCGGGAGGGCCGAATACGCGGGGTAGGGGTATTCTCATTATCTGAGAAATAACTCATGGATCTGATTATGCTGTTTGCTTTTGCTAAGATCAGCTTCTTAGAACAACCCGTCATACATCTCATTGCGGATATCGCAATGATTCCGAAACGTCGCGAATCGCGGATTGTAACCTCAGACGCGATGGACGCTTGAGGGAGGTGCATGAATGCTATTCCTGAACATGGCTAGCCTCTGGTGACGTCACCAATCGGTCTCTCCGGCTGAGATCGCACCATGCCTATTTACCTGCCAAGTACTCCACAGTGAATACAGGTTATTCCATTCCTGCGGGTCAGTACAAGACCTGTGCACGCGACTGACCGCCTCTACGTCGCCTACGCCTCACTCCTCAGCCTCTCCATCTCTCCAGCCTCATCATCACCATTGTTACCCCGCGCGATTGCTGATCGCTGCGCACGGCCGTCAAGATGCCCTCTCAAGAGAAGGGCCTTAAGAAGCTCTTTCACCCCTTCAACCATCGCGCCTCTGAAAAGATAGAGGAGATCGAGCAGAAACTTGAGCACACCAAACTGCGAGGTGCGCATATCAAGGCCGTGCATGTGAAGCATAAGATTGGCAAATTTACCAACCTCTTCAACGCCAACCATCGCCATGACGAAGAGCATGAGAAGCAAACAGATGCGAAGAGGAGTAAGATTGCAGAGAACCACCGGTTCCAGAGCTTTGCACCGGAGCGAGATGGTAACTTGGTGAAGTGGTATGTAGATGGCAGGGACTACTTCTGGGCCGTTGCCGAGGCATTGGAGCAGGCCAAAGAGACCATTTACATCGCAGACTGGTGGCTCAGCCCTGAGCTCTTCCTAAAGCGACCGCCATACTACAACCAGCATTTTCGGTTGGATCAGGTGCTCAAGCGACGTGCCGCGGCTGGTGTGAAGATCTATATTTCCGTGTACAAGGAGGTAAGGTCGTCAATTAGCAGCAGAAATTCATCAGCTTATATTGAACAGGTTTCTGCAGCCCTCACGTGCAACAGTCAGCATACCAAGAAAGCACTGATGGGCCTCTTTGAAGAGGGCGAACCTGGATACGGAAACATCAAGGTAATGAGACATCCCGATCACAATGTCTTCGAGAACGCCTCAGATATGACATTCTATTGGGCACATCACGAAAAGTTTATTGTCATCGACTATGCTATGGCCTTTATTGGTGGACTGGACTTGTGTTACGGACGATGGGACGAGAAGCAACATCCGCTTTCCGATGCGCACCCCTCTGGTGTACAAAATCAGATCTTCCCTGGTCAGGATTACAACAACAACCGTATCATGGATTTTGAGAGTGTTCAGGACTGGAAATCTAACAAGCTGAACAAGCTCGAGTACGGTCGCATGCCATGGCACGACGTGGCTATGGGCGTTATTGGTCCGGCGGTGTACGACATCGCTGAACATTTCGTCCTGCGATGGAACTTTGTGAAGCGAGAAAAGTACAAGCGTGACGAAAGATATGACTGGCTTACCATGGAAGGTCGAGAAGGCGCTGACGAAGATCTGATCGGAGTGCAGAGGCCCAAGTTTCCTGTGGGTGAATACGTGCACCATCCCATCACTCAGCTGAACAGCAAAAATCTCGACAATCGCGGTACCGTACATGCACAATTAATCCGAAGTAGCGGAGACTGGAGCATGGGTATCGATCCTCATGAGCAGAGTATCCAGAACGCATACTGCGAGCTCATCCGCAACGCGAAACACTATGTTTACATTGAGAATCAATTCTTCATCACGGCGACGGGAAAAAATGATACGAACCCTGTCCATAACCAGATTGGAGCTGCGATGGTTGATGCAGTGGTATCAGCAGCCAAGGAGCAGCGCAACTTTAGACTGATCATTGTCATCCCGGCTATTCCAGGATTCGCAGGAGACCTGCGAGATCAAGCTGCTGCCGGAACACGCGCCATCATGGATTATCAATTCAAGAGCATCTGTAGAGGGGATGAAAGCATCTTCGGAAGAGTCAAAGCGGCCGGTGTCGACCCCGAAAAGTACATCTTCTTTTTCAACCTCCGCTCGTACGACCGCATCAACGTCACACCCACGCTTAAGGAGCGTGAGAAGAAGTCCGGCATGACGTACATGGAGCTTGAAGCAGCTGAAATTGATGAGTTGGAAGCATCACCAGAGGAAGGAGGAGAGGAGGCACGTCGTAAAGCGGCTGAGTTGAGGAAGGCATATATGAGCGAGTCTGAAGACGTAGGCAAAGGTGATCAGGGCGGTGTCATTGATCCTGATTCGATTGCCGACGACGCCATGCTTACGGAAAAGAAGCCCAGCGAAGAAGATTGGGAAGGTGAAGAGGAAGACGAAAAGGAGCACTTCTTCCAAGAGGAGCTCTACATCCACGCCAAAATCTGCATCGTTGATGACAGGACCGTTATCTGCGGTTCTTCCAACATCAATGACCGCTCCCAATTAGGCTTCCATGATTCAGAACTCTCGATTGTCTTGCAGGATACGGACGAGATCGATACGGAGATGGATGGCAAGCCTTACAAAGCTGCACGCCTTGCCCACCAACTTCGCAGCAGCTTATGGCGCGAACATCTCGGCCTACTTCCACCCCAGTCCCTCAATGCCGCAGATGACCCCAACGCGCAACCGCCTGGCGAGAAATCGCCGAACGATCCCATGCCCGGCCCCGAAGCTGACTTTGTCTCCGATCCCTTGTCATCCAAACTATGGGACGAGTGGACCGAGCGCGCAACCACCAATACCGAGGTGTTCAGGTCCTTGTTCCACGCCGATCCCGATGACAGTATCCTTACGTTCGAAGACTATGATAAGTTTACCCCTAATCCTTCGGGCGACAAGGAGCATAAGCAGGGGCACTTGTACGACATGGTCAGGCCTGTCAAGGAGATTAGAGCGGAACTGGATCGCGTGAAGGGGCATCTAGTGTGGATGCAGTTGAAGTTCCTTGAGAATGCTGATATGGCTGAACGGGGACTGCAGGTGAACTCCTTCACGGAAAGTGTTTACACATGAGGCGGGGTCGACAATTGCATGGTATGTGTTGGTTTCCTGTGTGGTGAATGCTGGCCGGATATCTCTGGTCCTCAACACTGAAGCTAGTAGACTACTCGCATCGGTGTGTTAGTTTGATTTTCTTCCTTCCTTCATGATTCCCTGTTACGTTTCATCAACGTCGTTATGATCTGAATGTATCTTTCTTTGTCCTTAGTCTTGCGGAGTGCTATCGAGAGGATTCTGATGGCGAGTATCGTGCGCTGAATATCATTTTCAAGATGCAGTATACTGTGTCTGCTACTGTTTACACTATGCACAAAGATTGAAGTTGAGACGCGCCGCGAGAGACGAGAAATGCAGAACTATCACTAAGTCTTTGGTGTAATGCTTGAACTACCATAGAGAGCGACAGCTCGATAAGTTGACACCGAATAAACAAGTGAAATGATTGGATTTTTTCGAGATGTATCATATCATGCTGGAATCGTACAGGGACTTTTGTTGTGTCCTCCAGCTCTGCTTTTCTGACACCTAAATGCCGATACGAACACTTTCAATCTTCTTCACCTTCATCACTATCACCAGCTCCTTGTTCCCCTCTCGCCGCCACCTCATCGTCAGTCTCCCAAGCCAAATCCCCCTGAAAATCTCTTTCACTTTCATCTGTCACAAACAATGGACTCTCTGTCTTCTCGGTCACGAACCGTCCAAAAGAATCCTGCGAACGCGCAACAAACCCACGACCCTCTTCTTCGAGCCCTTCCTGATCTTGCTTTCCTCCTTGCCCTTGTTGCCTTCGTGGTGAATACTGGCTCACTTCCGAAGAAACATCAAAAAAGTTGTCAAAGTCGAAGGATTCCAGCGAACTCTCATCGGATGCGCGCTCTCCTGGCCCTGATACTTCTTGCTCTGGTTGGTCTTCACGTAACATGATCCTCTCCGCAGTTGGTAGGGATCTGAAACCTGGAAAGGGATCACTATAACGCTGAGCGTGTGACCGTGGTCGAGGCGGGGCAGGACGTAACGGGATGAAGATGTATGGGGCAGAGAAATACGTAGTACTATAGCGTGAAGTAGGAATTGGTGGGCCGATAGAGTACACGGTTGTCGAATTTGTGTTTCGGCGTTGCATGGCTGCTCGACGAACGGCCAGAGGAGGCTGTAGAGGAGCTGGTGGTGGTGGTGGTGGTGGTGGTGGTGGTACGGGAGTAGGGGCAGGAGTGAAAGCTTCCAACACTGGATGAGCTGGTGGATTTCCTACGATGGGAAACCCTCCATCATCAAGATTTGGTAACTGCGGCTGTTTCCATGGAGACTCAGGAGATGAGACGTCTGGAGGTGTTGTCGACTTTCTAGCTCTGTGTCCAAACCTGAGGCTGCTTTGACCTCGAGCTTGGACTCTCCTCACAAAGTGTGCGTATAGTACCTCATACGATCCATTGGCCCATTCATCCTCCTTTAGCAACTTTCCATTCTCACAACGCGAGTCCCGCCGGAAGTGGAAATGTACTGTGTGTGTTTCTTGGTTCCGGTTGAAGTAAGTGAAGCAGTTGGAGACGAGGGCGCCGTAGTCTCCTAGCTCAGATGAAGGACGACGGATATAACGAATGTTGGTAACGTAGTCACGTATCTCTATCATTGTAGAGGTGGAGACGGACATATCAAGTGGAGTGGAGAATATATACTTGAGTTTTCAGAGAATGGGTACTGTATATGTGAAGTCGACGATAGAAAGAAGAACGGCGAAGAGCTATAGTTATTTCATAGTCGCAAGAAACTGTGTTTGTGATAGTCACGTGTGCAAGGACCACACGAACTATAACAAATCGAGGGGCAAATGACATCGATTAGTGAAAGGGGAAAAGCATAACTTGACCATGTGAGTTAGGACCGTGGAAAACCAAGCTTTTGAGAGTCACAAGCTGCTTGAACTCAGGGTAGAGCATCGAATTCAGAAACCTCAGTGGTAGCCCGAAAAAAGCCTACTGATTCATCTTCTGCCATCATGTGAACGGAAATCAACTTGTCTCTTCCTTCTTGCCTCTTCTCACCTTCCGTATAACTGCTCGATTCGTGATCTTGTACTACCGGCTTCTCTTCCGCCCTCACACCCATCTTCATTCTGGTCTTCGCTCTAGTACCCCCAATGATTTTCAAAAGGCAAAAGTTTCACGGTCTTCTACAAGAGATCCACTTTCTTTGATGGAATTTGCACTTCGCCATACGTTTTCGCATGCTAAGTGTGTTGTGCAGGAGCATAGGTAACGATAGTGTTTCGTGTATTCAGCATTTCATGGAAAACAGGCCGCATATTTGGTGTGTGACACCGTATCCTTTCGCATGGCCGATGATGATGCCTTGTTTGCGGAGACGTTGATGTAGCGAGTCGTGCATAGCAGTAGTTGATGATCCGAGTGCGGGCGACTCAAGGGTGGTCAATAGGAGAGATATTAGGGTGAAAAGACGGGAGTCTGGTGTTTTGTCCCTCCTTTCAGTTGCATTATATCCTCGATAACGGGTTTGACGGTTTGCAGTCTATTATCGCAGGATGAGAATCCTTCTAAATCGAGTATGTACTCCCCGTCTACCATGGTGGTCTATGTATTACTCTTTGTCAGAATGTGTTTCGAGCATTTCTCAGGAATATGAAGTATCATAGCACCGACTTCCTGAAGATCCAAACCTTCATGTAGATAACCTGATGCGGCGTGGCAACATTGTGATAAAAGAAATAGCACACGACGGCGGAGCACTTTTCGACATGCGATATGAATGTTATGCGATCAGATGTGATGTCGTTTGTTGCAGAGGAGTCTGTCAACGGGTATCCTAAGGAATATACAAACACTTTTATCGAGACGTACTTCAGCCCGGCACGAGGTGTGATTAGACACCAATCATGTCATCATTCCCGTTGATTTTTCGGTCGCTCTCTTTGGCTCTTGCTTTGGTCTTCTTGTTGTTGCTGTCAACAGCAGCGGTGCTGATAGCCCTCTTCCTCCGCCCCGCTTGAGCACTTGCCGTAGGTGACAGTGTCTCTTCCTTTGAAGCTTTAGACATGTCCTCGGGCAGGAACTTACCGCTACCAGCAGCCTCTCGGACCAACGATGTATAGAGCTCCTGAACGGCAAGCTCACTTGCACTTGCATCTTGTGACATGCCGCCTTCGTCGGAGAAGGATGTGTCTGCAAGGGGGTCGGGTGCGACGAGTTTCAGTCGTTCGGTGCCGAGGTGGAAACTGTTGCAGGCGATGCGCGATATCTGAACTTTGGGGTGCGATATGTCGAGAGCGAGGTGTTGTTTGAGATAGGTGGACAAGGCAGCTGTAAAGGGCTTGTTGCGGGTATCTTTGAGCAGCCTGCCACGGTCGACGAAACCGGAAATGTCAGCACCTGCGATGGTAATCTCTACGTGCTTGAGGATGGTTGTACTATTTGGAAAGGCTAGTTGGATGTGCAGCTGTCTTATAATGTCTTGGATGGATTGGGTCGAGTAGCGCGCTGAGAGGTGCTTCAAGTACGTCTCGAGACTCGAAGTGATGATGGGCGAGGGCAGCTTCAAGGGCGCAACGTAGGCATCGAAGGTCGTTCGGAGATAGTTCAGGAAGATGTCACGTATTGGACCCGGCATTTTCACAAGCAACAGTGGTAGCGATGTGAAGCCCTTTGGCGAGGAGGTGACGCCTGGGTCGCGCAGCAGGAGCGCATTGTATGTCTGCTTCTCGTACTCGAGGCTCACTTGCAGTCCTCGCGCGCGGTCTGGAGAGAGCTGGGAGAGGGATGACAAGTGCGAGGCATCGACATCTATCGACTGGCGATGTCGGTCAATCCAGGCATCTTCGTCTCCGATCATCTCCCAGCTGCACTCGTCCAGCGGCCCCAGCTTTGCGGTATCCTCAGCGCCGGCAAAGTCGACCTGGACGCCTCGCACATTGTCGCCTTTGAGCTGTTCTTTTAGGCGCTTGGCATGGGTTCGGAGTGAGGCTTCTAGTAGGAGGGGCGTGTCGTGGCAGTGGAGCGGGGACAGGCGGTACAGGTTGTACGTCCTGTTGTAGAGTGGGTACGGGGGAATATGGGCCATGATGATGTCAGCTATCTCATGGTCGACGAGTTTGACGCGTGCGACTTCTCCAAGGCGGTTGTGTATGCTTGCATGGGCGCTCGAATGGGATGGCGCCCTCTAGACGCGTCGGGGGGTGACTGCGACGTGTATGGGGCCATGACGCAGCGTGTTGCTGGTTGATTTGCTTCGTGGTCCGTGCCTTCCGCAACACTTTCTTTAGTGACCCCGCTAAAACAGGGCTTGTCGAGAAGGTTCTCTTTTCTTCGACGTATTGCCAGCAAGTCATCAGAGCAGCGGCTTATTGAAATTTGCGACCCGTGCCTGCCTATCTTTTACACGACCTTGCAAAAAAACCACTTTCACCGCACACACTCCCTACACTACCCCATACACACGCACATATACCCCACCATCAGAGATAAACATGTCTGTAGTAGGTGTTGATTTGGGAACGCTCAACAGCGTCATTGCTGTTGCGCGGAATCGAGGTGTCGATGTGGTAAGTACTACTAGCCTAATCGCATGTTATCGTCTACCAAGATACTGACTGTGCGTAGATTGCAAATGAGGTTTCCAACCGCGCGACACCGTAAGTATACCCCCAGCGCACACTCGCATACCCACCCACACAAAACGACAGTCGACTTACAATTTCGCAGATCGCTAGTAGGCTTCGGCCCCAAGAGCAGATACGTTGGCGAGACGGCCAAGAACCAGGAAATCTCCAACCTCAAGAACACCGTCTCCTCCTTCGTCCGCCTCGCCGGCCGCAACCTCTCAGATCCCGATGTCCAGGTCGAGCAAAACTTCATATCCGCGCCGCTCATCGACATGGGCGGCCAGGTCGGCGCTGAGGTGCAATACCTGGGAAAGAAGGAGCAGTTCACTGCTACTCAAATCACAGCCATGTTCCTCACCAAGATGCGCGCCACAGCATCTGCCGAACTAAAACTCCCCGTCAACGACGTCGTCCTCAGCTGCCCCGTCTGGTACACCGACGCCCAGCGCCGCGCCATCCTCGACGCTTCCGACATTGCTGGCCTTAAGTGCCTCCGCCTCATCAACGACAACACCGCAGTCGCTCTCGGCTGGGGAATCACAAAGCTCGACCTCCCAGGGCCCGAGGAGAAGCCACGGAGAGTCGTCTTCGTCAACATCGGCCACAGCAACTACACCGCTACCGTCGTCGAGTTCAAGAAGGGTGAGCTGGCTGTCAAGTCGAGCGCCTGGGACCGCCACTACGGTGGACGCTACATCGACCAGGCCCTTGTCGAGCACTTCGCCAAGGAGTTCAAGGAGAAGTACAAGATCGACGTCATGGAGAACGGCAAGGCTCGCCTCCGTTTGGCTGCTGGTGTCGAGAAGCTCAAGAAGGTCCTTTCCGCAAACAACCAGGCGCCCATCAACGTCGAGTCCATCATGAACGACGTCGATGTACGCGGTATGCTCAAGCGCGAGGAGCTCGAGGAGCTGATCAAGCCCCTCATTGACCGCGCTACCGCCCCCATCGAGCAGGCTCTCGCTGAGGCCAAGCTCACCACCGCCGACATCGACGCCATCGAGATGGTTGGCGGCTGCACACGTGTGCCCGTTCTCAAGTCCAAGATCCAAGACTACTTCGGCAAGCCCCTCTCCTTCACACTCAACCAGGATGAGGCTGTCGCTCGTGGATGCGCTTTCTGCTGCGCCATCCTCTCGCCAGTATTCCGTGTCCGTGACTTCTCCGTCCACGACATGGTCAACTACCCTGTCGAGTTCACCTGGGAGAAGTCAGAGGACATTCCTGATGAAGACACCAACCTGACCGTCTTCAACAAGGGTAATGTCATGCCATCGACCAAGATCCTCACCTTCTACCGGAAACACCCATTCGACCTTGAGGCCAGGTACGCCAAGCCCGAGCAACTGCCGGGCAAGATGAACCCATGGATTGGCCGATTCTCCGTCAAGGGTGTCAAGGAGGACCCCAAGGGCGACTTCATGATTTGCAAGCTCAAGGCACGCCTCAATGTGCACGGTGTACTCAACGTCGAGTCTGGATACTATGTCGAGGAAACCGAGGTCGAGGAGCCAATTCCCGAGTCTCCGTCAGCAGAGAAGAAAGAGGGTGATGTACGTTCTTCCGAATTTCCTAATGATCTTAGTAACGGCCGGCGAAGTCCGCCTGAGCCTGCCGCGAAACGACGAAAGCCTAGCGCTGATCCTGTACTTGGGCGTCCTGCTTTTGCGCACATAACAGATGAGCTAACAGATAATGCGCAGGCAATGGACGTTGACAAGGACGCTGCAAAGGAGCCACCGAAGATGCGCAAGGTTAAGAAGCAGCAGCGCAAGGGTGACCTCCCACTATCAGCAGGCACTGCTTCGCTTGACGAGGAGAGCAAGCAGACCTTGGCCGAGAAAGAGAACTCTATGATCATGGAGGACAAGCTCGTTGCCGACACCGAGAACGAGAAGAACAACCTTGAGAGCTTCATCTACGAGCTCAAGGACAAAATCCTCGACGTCTACGCCGAGTTTGCCAGCGACGACGAGAAGGCAAGGCTCAACACCAAGCTCGAGACCATTGAGGTAAGTACAGTTCAATACATGGTTCTCGAATGGCGCTAACATTCATACAGGAGTGGTTGTACGATGAGGGTGACGACGCGTCCAAGGCACAGTACGTTTCCAAGAAGGAGGACATCCGCTCCATCGCAGGACCTATCATCCAGCGCTACAACGACAAGATCGAGAGCGAGCGACAAGCGGTCATGGAGAAGCAACAGAAGGAGCACGCAGCTAAGCAAGCCGAGCTCGAGCGCGCAAAGCGGGAGGCCGAGGCCAAGAAGCAGGCTGAGGCGCCGCCGGCGGAAGAGCCAAAGGACGCGGAGATGACAGACGCTGAGGCGCAAAAGCCCGACGGCGTTGAGGAAGCTTCTTAAGCGAGGCATCTGCGTAGGCGTAACGGCAAGTGAAAAGCATTTGGTCGGCGTGGTATACAGGGCTACGTTTGGCGCGAGGGAAAGTTTCTTGTTCAACTTTTCTTTTTTTCTGTGATGAGACCATGGTAATGCGATGCTTATGATAGACTAGTCCATAGACGAACGAACACGATATCCTGTTCTGGAACTAGGTTCCATTACTTCCATTATCTATTCAAGTACCCCACCAAATGTTGAACTCGGCATGCTAAAGCACTTGAAATTAGAGAAAGAGCTTGCATTTCCTAGAGCTAGGCGTCCCGCCCCGTCTCCGCTTTCTGTAGGACCTACCAATCAAAACTTGGTTGTACCGAGCAGGCGAATGAGGGGGCACGCTTTATGCAGGGGCCATCTGTGCCTTCCCTGAGCTTAGCGAGCTTAGGGGTCATCGTCTTGTCTTAGAACTCGCAACGTCTTCGCCGTCTGTTTTTTGAAGAGACGCATTTGGAGCCGCCGAGTATCTTTGCTGCGAGATAATCTGAGCCAGCGCCTTCATGTTCTTGCCCTAGCTAGGGACTACTCTCGCTATGCACTCAGAATCTGTCGTGTCAGATCAACTTACTTCTGCAAAAGCTACATGCCAACATCAGAGCACTACTGTGCGGAGGAAGTCGAAGACAGGGTGTGGAACCTGCAAGTGAGTGGTTTGTTTTGTTCAAGGGTATCAGGATCGTCCGATTGGCGGTCTGTTGTTCAACGGTCTGGGCTGTCCGTGGATCTGTGCCTATGAACGCTTACCGACGTTGACTAGAGCCCGAAGAGTTAAGTGTGATGAAGCAAAGCCTGTGTGCTCTCGTTGCCGATCTACTGGTCGAACGTGCGAGGGTTACGGCTTGTGGGGAGGCGGGGGGAATACCTACGTTGAGAGATATGGCGGAGCATCTACAAACGATACCTCACTAGTCTCAGTTCAGAAGCCTCCTACCAAAGTTCTACCCGTCGAAGAACTCAGACACCTACAACTATACAGGATTAGGATCGTCCATACAACTTCGGGTTGGTTCGCCTCGAAGTTTTGGAGCTCGATTGTGCTGCCGGCAGCTTCGTCAGAACCTGCTGTTCTTCATGCTGCTGTGGCGTTGAGTGCTGCGCACAGATGCAGTTACAACCCGTCACAAGCTCCAGATACGCGGGAGAAGTTTGTGCTCCAGCAGTATACCAAAGCCATCCGATCACTACAGCCACTGTTGCAACGTGGAGACAAAGACTCCATCACAATTATTTTGGTCACCTGTCAGTTGTTCACCCAACTGGAGTACCTCCGCGGAAGGTACCAGATTGCTGAAACACACTTACGAAATGGCTTGAAGCTTCTGAAAAACACGGCTACTGAGAAAGACCATTCTCATCATGGTGTGTTGGTAATCAGACCGGCTTCACACGGGAAAATCGTAGATCGAAGTATCGTACGCAGCTTTGCGACTCTGCATATGCAGAGCAGCCTGTTCGGTTCCAGTCTAGAGGACGTCGATCTATTCCTGCAACCGATTGGAAACGATATGCCGTATCCTGCTTTCACAAGTGTCGAAGAAGCGAAGGACACTCTGGACGTGCTGTTGCATCGCATAGCTTTGATCAAACAACGATATCAAAAATCAGGAGCTGGAACTGAAGATGATGTTGCTGCGGTGACATCGGTACAAGATGAAATCACAAGCCATCTTGCGACTTGGTACGAAATCTACAAGCGTACGATTTGTAGGATCGACAAGATACTCCTAGCTGCCGGAAAGAGACCCAACGACCCGCTATCGTTCGGCGCAAAGACACCACCAACCAAGCTCCCAACAGATCGCGAGCCATCAGTATTCAAATCATTGCTTATGCATCACGCTATGGCGAGCGTCATGTGCGGTTGTTTGCGTTCTTACTCCGGACAGCAGTATGAAGCGTATACCGATATGTTTCTCATGATAGTTATGCACGCTATACACATCTTTGAAGAATACTCTCTAGCTCGATCCATCCCGGATAATGTCAATCTCCACGATTCTATTGGCGAGTTTGGCTTTATAGCGCCGTTGTACTTCACGGCTATCAAGTGTCGACACCATCGTATCCGTTTTCACGCTATACGGCTGCTGCGTGTAATTCCACTGAAAGAGGCGACATGGGATTCTTTCACGGCAGCTAATATTGCCGAAACGGTTATGAAGCTTGAAGAGAAGGGTGTTTATTATGTCAGAAACGCTGATAATGACTTCTCTCTGAACGACGTACCCGTCCTGGGAGATGCTTCTGATTGGCCTTTGCTGCCGGAACATAGCATGTTCCACGACGTGGAGGTAACGACACGAGAAGACCTTGCGAACGAAGTGGTCGCCACTTGCAAAAGAAGGCGTCTGGATGGGAGTCCAGAAGTCATCACCTTCCACGCCAACAACAAGCCCGCACCTGTTCCGGACAATAAAAGATCATGCCATCAATACCCATGACCAGCAGGACTCATTTAGGTAAAATGGGAACGACGAAATTCTCACACTGCCTAGTTCAAATTTAGTCGTTCATAAACCGCCAGATAACCCTTATATTTTCCTGATTACAGCTCAACTCCCATCTCTCTTCCTTGGAATCTCAAGGATCCGAGTTACAGACCTACCTTGCATAGTCTGCCATCCTGCGTGACAATTCCCTCTCTCTTCTTACCATCGACATCTCTGATCTCCCACTCATCACTGCCAACACCCCCAATCGCCCAAAACAACCCTTCAGGATCATACTTCTTCTTGACTATAGCCAATTTATCGTAGTTACTCCCAAAGAACGCTTCCTTCCACTCCCAATCCTGCGCGTCCCCCTCATTGATATAGCTTCCACTCCCTACCGTGACATCCCGCCAAACCTGCATATAGGCCTGTAGCCTCTCATGCCTTTCCGTCAGCGCCTCATGCGAGAGAATGGGAGCTTGGCCATCCCAGTGTGCGTTTGGCTCATAGGCTTGGGCATGTAGAACTGTGGTGCGGAAAGCAGGGTTCACGGCGTTGTTGGGGTTTCCAGAAACCGAGAGGGTAGGTGCGTAGTTCATACCATGGAAGGTCAGGGAGCCGTTTTCGACAACGTGACGGATGGCGAGGTGTGAGGATTCTAGAGTAGAGATATTGGAGAAGGCGGTACGAGGAAAGAACCGGGATGCTATCATTGTGTGGCCTGTTGTTTCGCCCAGTACCCTTTTGGAGAGATGTGGTGGTTCGTGTTTGTATCCTTCTTCATACGACGATGGAGATGTGAGAGACCGTCCTACTATCGGCATAGCCTGTTGAATGCCCATATCATTTAGCTTCTGAAGTAGCGGGCGCACGAAACGTCGATGTTCTGTTGTAGTTTGGTTTGGTACAGATATACTGACGGTGAAAGTAAGACCAGTAGTACTACTGTTAGGGTAAATGAAGCTGTAACCCAAGCCGCCTGCATCACAGATGGCGACTGAGAATTCCCAGTACGCTCGCATGCCAGCCCAGAAGGTTTCCGTGGAGATCGGAGGCGCAGTTGATCCGCGATCTGGTGTGGTCGAGAAACGGATACTGCTCGATGCTAGGGGCGTGACTGGAAACGCTTTAACGACGACAGACGTGATGATCCCGAATGTTCCTAGTTATTCGTTAGTGGCTGTAACTTTTCCCCATGTCGGGAACATGTACCTCCACCACCTCCGCGGAAAGCCCAGAACAAATCAGCGTTCTCTCCCTCATGTGCTTCTACCACCTTGCCATCGGCTGTAACAGCCGTGATGGCAAGCACTTGATCTGCGGCCAGTCCATAATAACTAGTATGGAGCTATGTCCGCCACCTTGGAGGAAACCACCTGCGATACCTACGGTCCCTCCTCCTGCAACGATCATGACCATGTTCTTCTGTCGCATCAATGTAGAACCTTCATAAGCCTGCACACCAGCGGCGTATGTAACCGCTCTTCCCGTATATGAAACAGTGGGCGATGTGTAACTAGGGTCGTACGCTATGCCTTTGAGGTTGTGCGTCCATACACTAAGAGAATAACCACCGATGGACTTCCCGTTGAAATCATGACCCGAATTCTTGATGACAAGCCGAATGTTCTGATTCCTAGCGAAGTTGACTGCGAGTTGAATGTGTCTTACTGTAGTGGCTTTGACAACATACTCTGGCCAACCGCCTTGGGTACAATTTGAGTCTGGCTGTGAGGTTGGCGTGCACGTATTGCCAGATGCCCATTGAGATAGGATACTCGCCGGATCATCGGAGCTGTCATAGTCAGCACGATAAAGACGAAAGTCTAGTTCTTATCCATGTAAGCTCACTGTATATTCATGCCTGCCCAACTCCCCTTCAACTGGTCGCATTTTGCAGCACTGTAGCCCTCGCCAGCATAACAGACACTGGCAAGCGGCTTGGGCTTCAACAACACACCACCGAGCGTATTGTTGAAAGACGCCCAGGCATCCTCGCTCGGCCACTCAGCGTCATGTGGAATGATCTTACAGCTACCAGACGTCGCCGTCACCGATGCACTACCAAAACGCAATGCTTGATTGCGAGCCGCGTCCTCGCCAGTGAGTTGTTCGCGCTCCCAGTCGAAGTTAAGAGCGGTAGTCGTCGCTAAGAACAGAAGAGAGAAGAGAGTAAAACAGAGCATCTTCAGCAATTCGTGAGTGCGGTTTGAAGTCTAAAGATACAGAGGAAGCTGCGAGGGGATTCTATGGGAAAGCACCACACCAGAGGTATACTCAGGACAACGCCTTCTCTTTCATTGTACAACGACCATCTATCCCCACCTACCCTTCGAACGCCTCATTTGTGGGGCTGTATGTGGTTGTCGCAGGTGTGGTAAGCCTGACTTATAGTTTTCATCTACTGTCCTGCACATACATGCCGGCTATATAGCGTACCCGCCGTCCCGGTTCTGCGTATAACTTTCAAGCGAAAACCCCGGTCTAGATCTGCCGTTAGCCCAAATGCATCGTGACCAAACAGAAGGTGTAAATGTATAAATCGTTTTGAAGAAGTTGGGATATATCTTTTCATACAAGGAGTTATCATGCAATACGACAATTGGACAAATGATCATGGGGGATAGAAGAAGTGCGCCATCCGCTGTACATAAGATCGTCTGTCCCTGAGATCCAATCTCATCTAGCCCAATAGTAAAGTTACACATTCATCCCAAATGCACCGAAAATAGAATCAGATTATAGCATAAGCTCGAGAGGGCTCTCAATGGCCTTCTTGAGCTCACGCATGAACTCGCCACCGACAGCACCGTCGACGACCTTGTGGTCGAAGCTGCCGGTGATGACAATCTGGTCGTCCCACTCAACGCTTGCTGTGCCATCCTCAGCCTCGCCTGGTACTGCAACCTTCCTTGTTGTGCCGATTGCGACGATGCAAGCTTGTGGGGGGTTGATGACGGCGGTGAATCGCTCAACGGCGGGGTTCATGCCCATGTTGGAGATGGTGATGGTTCCGCCCTGGTACTCCTCGGGCTTGAGCTTACCATCGCGTGCGCGCTTGCCAAGGTCCTTGATCTGGGAGGAGATGGACTGGAGGCCGAGTCCGTTGACGTTCTTGACGATAGGAGTCATGAGACCAACGGGGGTGGAAACAGCGACGGAAACATCGACAACGTTGTGCTGGCGGATGATGACCTTGCCGTTCTCCTCGCGCCATGACGAGTTGGCAGCAGGAACCTTGCGAGCGGCAACAGCGAGAGCCTTGACAAGCAAGTCGTTGACTGAGAGCTTGTACTTGCCGTCAGCGGAAGCGTTGAGAGCCTCGCGGAGCTTGAGAAGCTTGGAGACGGAGATGTTGGAGGCGACGAAGTAGTGGGGGTTCTGCTGCATGCTCTCGGTGAGACGGCTGGCGATGACCTTGCGCATGCTTGTAGCCTCAGTGTCCTCGTAGGCAGCTGCGGAGGCCCCAGCAGCGGGGGCAGCACCTGCAGCAGGCTTGAATTTCTCAATGTCCTCCTTGGTGACCATGCCACCCTTTCCAGTGCCCTTGATGGAACCGATCGGGACGCCCTTCTCGAGCGCGAGCTTCTTCGCGGCAGGGGAAACGCTGGGCTGGCGCTGGAGAGCGGTCTCCAGACGGTCACCGGTGGATTCAGACTCGATAGCAGCAGGCGCGGACTCGGTCTGAGCAGGAGGAGCGGTCTTGGAGCCAGTGTTTGGGGGCTCGCTGGCCTCAGCAGCGTTGCCCTGCTTGGAGGGAGTGTCGGCCTTCTTGTCACCGCCGGCGTCCTCGATGGAGAAAGACTCGAAGGCGGAGACGTCCTCGCCCTCGTCGACCATGACAGCGATGGGCTGTGAAGGTTAGCAATGCGTAGCTGTGACGGTCGGAGCCTGCACTTACGCTTCCAACAGCGACGTCCTTTTCGCCAGCGTCGCGGAGAATCTTGGCGATGGTGCCCTCTTCCTGGAACTCAAAGTCCATCTGTGCCTTGTCCGTCTCGATTTCGACGAGCACATCACCGGGCGCTATTGAGTCGCCGACCTTCTTCTGCCATGCGCCAATGTTGCCGGAGGTCATGGTTGGGGAGAGGGCGGGCATGCTGATAACGCTGTGCGAGGGGTAGGCTGCGAACAAGAGGCGTTAGCAACGCGATCACCACCGGAGTTTTTGATCGAGGGGCAGACGGTGAGATTGCTCACATTTCGAGGCATAGTATCGTGCAAGCGCGGCCAGGGCTGGTGTGCGTCTGTTTACAGGTGTCAACTGTGGTCTTGCGAGGGCGTTGGCGTGAGGGCAGACACGGCTGCAGGAGACTTACGCAGAGCATCTCGAGGTAGGGAGGGCGCCGCGTAGCGCAATTGACCCTCTGGAGCTCAATTGGCTTCCCGCCCTGGACAGCAGAGTCGTGGTGGCAGGCATTGTGTCGGGATGCCGGTGCGCTGAGATTTACTCGAGACGACCGAAATAGGCGTGCGTGGGTGGGAAGAGACTCGTCGGGCGAGAGCGACAAGCTACAGCTGTATGCTCTGGCGCTGGTCGGGGCTGGAGGAGATGGAAGGCAGTTCAACGAAAAGTTTAGTGCAGTTGGTTGGAGACCCGGCGACTAGCGTTCTCTCCCGATGAGGGTCTATGCTGGATGCGACATTTCCCGGAAGGCCCTGTGAGCTGTGGCTCGGGTGCTGTGGCTGGCACCGATGTGTGGCGCCCCCTAGCGTCCCGCGCTACCAGTGGACTGGTCGTCGGGGTACGTAACTAGTAAGGAAAGTCACAAAGTGTCATCTCACATAGCAACCTTGGGTTTCGTGCTGCACCATACGCGGCTTTGCCAATTCGCTTCCCGTCTCTGTACTGCATTGCGCCCGTACGAGTCGCCCCTGCCTTGCATTCCCACCTTGCGTCGCTCCTTCCGCCATGGTTGCTGAGGACAGGGTACTATTACGAATCTCCCGGACGTGAACGACCATGGCCGATACCGACCCCCAGCCAACGCAGACAGACCAAGTGGAGAAGCCCAGGAGCATGGAGGAACAAGAAGAAGAAGAGCGAGAAACACATCCATACAACACAGGAGGAGAAGAGGACAGCGACTCGGATTCCGAGTCGGAACAGGCATCAGCATCAGAGGATGGAGAGGATACGTCGTCCCCAGCGCCGGAAGCTCCACGGGAAGAGGCGGATACATCGACACCTGCACCTGCGCCCGCGACCGAAGCGCCATCACTAAACGTGCCCGACGGCGGAGATGCGCCGCGGTCATCCGAGCAGATCTTCGACCATCGTCTGCCTCTCGAGAACCGACCGCGAACAGACTCGCAGTCCACCGTAGCCACCACCGCCACGCGACCATCCACGAGAAGCTCCCTCGTCTTCGTCGTCACTGCGCTCGAGACAATCGCAGCTTCGAAAGATGCTAGGAAGAACAAGAAGCTTGGGGATAGCACCAATGCTGCCCTGTCTGCAATCAAGAATGAGGGCGACCCGGCACGCATCAACCCCGAGGTGCTCTTCGAACCGCTCCAACTCGCCTCCGAGGCTCCGAACGTCCCCGTATCCATCACAGCGCTCGATTGCATCGGCAAGCTCATCAGCTACTCGTACTTCTCCGTGCCGGCCGAACCACGAGCCGACAACAGCGAGGAGGTGCCTCCTCTGATCGAACGAGCTATAGACACAATATGCGATTGCTTTCAAGGTGAGGCTACCGCGCCAGAAGTGCAACTGCAGATTGTCAAGTCGCTGCTGGCAGCCATCTTGAACGACAAGATTGTTGTGCACGGAGCGGGACTACTGAAGGCTGTGCGACTCACGTACAACATCTTTCTCCTGTCTAAATCGAGCGCGAACCAGCAGGTTGCACAGGGCGCATTGACTCAGATGGTTGGCACAGTCTTTGAGAGGGTCAAGACGAGACTGGCTATCAAAGAGGCTCGATTGAACTTGTCACGGTCATCCTTGAATGAAAAGGGCCAATCGGAGGAGAGCGTACAGCAAGATGAAGGCAGCACAGAAGACATTAATGGCTCTGAAGCCAATGGTGAAGACGGAGAGGACGAGCACGACGCTGAGGCTGCCGAACCCAGCGACAAGGCCGTCGACCGACACACAGGTCCTAAAATTACACTACAGAGCTTCGAAAACAACATGAGCTTCAACGACGACCGTATACACGATAATGCACCGACGCTGGTGACTCGCATAAAAGGAAAGACTGGATCGCGACATGCGTCCGGGCAAGAGAGCTCGCCTCATGTCAACACCGAAGAGGAGGAAGAGGACGAGATATTCGTCAAAGATGCGTACCTCGTGTTCAGAGCCATGTGCCGTCTGAGCACCAAGGGTCTGACAGTAGACCATGCCCATGATGTGCGCTCGCAAGGCATGCGTTCCAAACTTCTCTCTCTGCATATGATCCACACCATACTCTTCAATAACATTGCTGTCTTCGTGTCACCGTATGCCACCATTCGCAGCGGCAGCGACGAACCAACCAGTTTCATACAGGCGGTCAAGCAGTACCTCTGCCTGAGCTTGAGTCGGAACGGCGCAAGCTCAGTGAAGCAGGTCTTCGAAGTTGCTTGTGAGATCTTCTGGCAGATGCTCAAATACCTGCGCATATCACTCAAGAAGGAAGTCGAGGTATTCTTAAAGGAGATATACCTTGCAACTTTAGACAAGCGAAGTGCTCCTGCATTTCAGAAGCAATACATTTTGACAATATTCGGAAGGCTTGCTGCAGACCCCCGGGCACTGGTAGAGATCTATCTCAACTATGATTGCGACCGCACCGCACTTGACAACATGTTCCAGCGCGTCGTTGAACACCTGTCCAAGATATCCAGCAACCCTGTCACCATCACAGCCGTGCAGCAGCAAGCGTATCAAGATCAGCGAGAGAAGCAATCGAGACAGATGGACTGGCAGAGCCGGGGTACATTACCGCCATCACTCACGACTGTATCTATGAATTCATCGCACGACACAGAGCATGGCTATCCGCAGGAGTACGCCATGAAACAGGAGTCTCTCGAAGCCCTGGTCGAGATCCTCCGATCTCTTGTCAACTGGGCTCAGCAAGCCCTGCCTGAGAACACCAAGCAAAATAACCCCGATATGCGACCATCACTCGACGACCTCCGAGTATCGACAGACACTAGGTTCGCCGCAGAGTCTCCAATGGTGGGAGCA